AATGAACATAGGCCTCCCCCATAAATTGTCAAGTAGCTGGATATTTGCTATAGTGGCGGGTTGGCAACCGCAGCTATTATTATTTTGATCTGTTGTCAAGAAGATGATGCAGATCATACCATCTACTATTTTTTCCTATGTCGCCTTTTACGACGAGACGATATGATGTGTTGGATTTTCTTTCACCGCCACAACAGTCCGAACATTTTTCTATTCCCGTTCATGAGTGTAGTGTTCCTCACGTTCACTTTGTATAAAATTTATAAGGAATAAAAGTAATTTTAAGGATTTTATCGCGTTTAATTTTAACTTTCACGGTCACGGGAGGGGTGACAGAACTGAGGTGTTTGACGACCTGATGTCATAGTTAAAATAGGATAGTTAAAATGCAGTAGTAGTTTGAATTTAATTTTATTAATCATGGAGTCCTTAGCAGATAGTAGCACTCAGCCATCTTCCCTATTAAAATTAGGATATTTTTAATTTCAATAGCCTCGCGAATCATCATTGGTAGTATTCGGTGTTCTATTGCAAGGATTTGTTGTATATAATGGTTGGGACGATACTAAACATGTTTACATACTTTAGACTTCCCGGAGCTTCGGTGCTTTCATTCGGTGAGGAGTCAAGATGCGTAAAAAACCCGTAACATTAGTTTTAATCCATGTGTGGTATTCATTATTATAGAACTGTATTTATGAAATTTTCAAGTCTACTCGAAGTAAATATAAATATCTATATCTTTTTATGGTGCCAATCAATATTAAATAGGACCAATGATATGAATAAAATGTTTCAAATAAACATTATATTACTTTGTTAAAACTAAATTTACTGTAATGCAAATGTAAAGAGTAAAATGTAAATAATAATAATACATTTTGATTTCAAGACTATTTACCTTTCTTATGGATACATCGGATTCGGAAGACACGCCGTATATAAAAAATAGTAGGAGTTTCTAGACATATTATAAGCATATTCACGTGTTTCTGTAGTATGTTACCAATCATCTACGTCTAATAGTATTTTAGAATGAAAAAAATCTCTGACAGACGTAGAGACATAGACACCAAGGTGACTCTAAAAGTGATCGAAGATTTCTAAATTTGACACGGAACAGCATTTAATGATGTCCCTAAATTCAAGCGCACGCGAGCGAAGCCGCGGGTAAAAAGCTAGTATGTAATAAACACAATAAAATGAATTGGAATATTAAAAAAAAAGATTTTGTAAAATAATTTTAATGATTTAACATACCTTGCAATTGCGAACGAAAAAAATTCGTATCCGTTCCCGACAAGTCGTGGTGGTAAAATTTGAACACGATCGAATGACTGACCAAACGATACCACTGTCGCTTACGACAAGTAAATGCACTTTCAAATACTGAACTATCTGGTTTTAGGAATTTATCTCATATTAGAAACCTTACCCTATCCATATCATGGGGTTGAATAAAAAAACATAGTCCGCCATCTTTGGGAGGCCACCATATTTGATTTAGAGCAGTGATGCACAGACTTATTAAGACTAGGGGCCACTCGTGCAAATTATGAACTGATGGCGGGCCGCCAGAAGTATAGGTAATTAAAAACAATAAAGAATTGATAATAATGTATTATAAATTGAAAAAGAATTTATTAATTTGAAGCGTGGCACTGCATACAATCTTTTTTATATTTGGCTCAAATTTACTTGTAAAACTGCTTCCAAACTTTCATTTGCAAGGCGGTTTCGATTTTTTGTTTTATTATTATTTAGTATTAGTATTGAAAAGGTTGGTTCACATATATAGGTAGAACCAAATAAGCTGGCACATTTCAGAGCGTTTATGCGCAACTCTTTGTACGTATTTTTATCAATGCAGCGGTAAAAGTTCAGCAAGTCTCCTTCGTTGAATTTGTTGCGTAAATCTTAGTCGTTTTGAATGTCGATAATTTCTAACTGCATTGACTCTGGCGCATTGTGAACTGAAATCGTGAAAGCATTGCTGAATATGTCCAACAGAGGTTTCACTTTTTTAAACTCCGAAAATCTGTCTTGAAAAGATTGAATCAAAATATCTAGCTTTTCTACACAACTGAAATTAATCGCAGTTTTGTTGAATTTTTCAGCCATTTTCTTATAATTCGGAAAATGATTGTAATTTCCAGAATTCAATTGCGATCTGAAAAGTGTCAGCTTGCATTGAAAGGATGATACATGAGCGTAGAGCTGGGATATCAGTTGCTTTTTGCCTTGAAGCCGTGTGTTCAAGACATTGAAATGATTTGTAATATCAACTAAAAAAGCCAAATCACACAACCAATGAGGATTTTTAAGTTCCGGGACATCCCTTTGCTTTTCCGCCAGAAATATTCCAATTTCTTCTATTAAATTTAGAAATCGTTCCAGTGTCAATCCACGACTTAGCCACCTTACTTCTGTATAATACAGTAAATCTCTATATTCCCTTTCGATGTCATCAAGGAATTGTTTGAATTGCCTGTGATTGAGTCCTCGTCATTTTGAAATTAATTTTTTTTAGAACATAGGGCTTCTTGGTGTATAATGCAGTGAAACTGCATGAGATCTTCAGCGTTTATGTTTTTTTCTTGCAGATGCTTTTTCAGCAAAGTAACTAGCCCAGAATTGACACCAATCATCGAAGGAGCACTCCCGATGATTTTGATAAGTCCAAATCAGTTTTTGAACACTCATCCAAAAGTACATTGAGTATATCAACTCCTCTGGTTTGACCTTTCAATGAACACATTCCTAATAACTCTTCTAAGACTTCAAAATCTTGAGTAACACCTCGTATGAATATCAGAAGTTGAGCTGAACTAATATCAGTGGATTCGTCGAGTGCTAATGAAAAAAATTCAATGATCTTAGTTTTTTCATTTAATTGTTCCGCAATATTACCTGACAAAGACATAATTCGTCTTTGGATAGTCATACGATTCAGTTGAATTTTCTCAAACTTTTTTGCTGCTTCTGGACACATTTTCTTAGCGGCAATTTCTATGCATTCTTTTACAAAATCCCCATCATTGAAGGGGCGACTTCGCTTTGCTATCATTCGAGAAATTTCATAACTAACTTCTGTAGCTGTTTCTGAATCTTGAATGGGTTTTGTAAACATACCTTGCTGACCAATAAGCTCCCGTTTTAAAGACAACATTTTTTGCTTTCTTAATTCGCCTTTTAACTTGGTAAAAGTAGGATGCTGCGTTTCATAGTGCCTTTTTACATTATATTCCTTTGCAATCGCAGCAGAATTCTTGCAAATTAAACAAACTACTTTGTTATGCGACCATACAAAAAGTATTTCTCAGTCCAAATTTCTTGAAACTGCCGATTTTCATCTTTAACCTTACGTTTTTTACTAGGTCCTGGCTTGTCCATGTTGCGTTCTAATCCTGGCTAGGATTAACACAGCACCTAAAAACAATTACAGTACCTACTTAAATTACCCATCCTTTTTTAAATTACCAAAAATAATTGATTAAATAGGTAGGGAAACACTTATTAATAACAGTTTTACTTACGATTTCACAATTATACACGGCACTTGACGGGAAATCTACGTTGAATGTGGATCAAAATATACGACACCGGCTAGTCGAGTTAAAATCTACACTAGAACTATTGACACTTCACTCAAATTAAAACCGAACTGTCGGTCGCTGCGGTTAGCGTGGCTTTTATGCCGCGCGTATAGAGTCGAAAACTGTCTGGAGAAATCACGAAACCGACTCTGGAAGCTTTGTGTATCTACCTACGCGAGCAATCGGGAATTCGGGACTATTGCTATCTCGCTTGCTCTAACAATATAACCCGTGGATAAGCCGCCACTGCGCTGCCATCGTCGCTGCGCCGGCGGCCGCGGCGGTTCCTCAAGAAAACGAATTTAACCGAGATCAGCACGAACATTACCGACCGCTGTTACCTACGCATGCACGGCGCATTCAAATTACTTTTCGAACATATTTTTTTTGGTTTTATTCTGGAATATAATTCGGGCCGCGGTCTGTGCATCTACGATTTAGAGTAACGTAATTTTATTTTTGTATTCTTTTCAGCAAACCCATTCATTTGATATCTATATCATGGGGGGTTTATAAAAAAACATAGTCCTCTATCTTTGGGTGTCCGTCGACCATATTGGATTTAAGAGTCACGTCATTTATTCTTTTCAGCAAAACATTTAATTTGATACCCATATCATGGAAGCCCATAGAAAATAACTAGTCCGCCATCTTGAGCCGTCCGCCATATTGGATTTAGTATGCCGTCACTTAGCTAATTATGCGTTATCATACAAACTAATCATGTATGCAAAATTTCAGCTCATTCGGTTGAGGATAACTGCTGTAAAATTCAGTTGCAAGATTTAATCCTAACAAACATACCACAGAGTACATTATATATAGAGGATAGAGTCATCACTTAGAATCATAGCATTAGCGCCATCTATCGATCAAGGAAGCAGGGTGCTTTAATACAATATTTAATAATTATTTTCAAAGTAATTTCCAAAAGTCAAACCATTTTAATATAGATTTGGCTTTTGGAAATTACTTTGTCGACAGTATAATTTAAGCAAATAAAACAACTGTTTAGCGGTTGGATATTTTTTTTATAATGCTTTCTTTTATTATAATAGTTATATGCAGACATTTTTATCGCATCAGTATCGTCGAATTCCAATCCAGTACCGTTAATTACTTTATTTACATCTCTGCACCAGTTGAATATGAAAAATTTGCAGGATAGTTCCATTATAAAATCGATTGTTTGCGATTTGTGGACCTCGCAATCAAAAAAGCCAAAATCAAGCTCTGAATACAAATATGTTTTTATATATGTTTTAATATTTGAACTCATAGATTGATTTTTTATTATATATATAATTAAATCTTGCATTTTAGAAAAAATAGTAACTAAATTATCATTTGGGTAGGTTAAATATGTTTTTCCATTCTTATATTCTCTCAATTTAAAAAAATCAATTACATAATTTTTGTTATATAAACATTGCTTACATTTTTTACAATTTTTAAATATTTTGATTTTGGCTTTTTTTTTAATAAATAGCCAGACACATACTGTAAACTTGCCAAAATTCTGGGGTTATATTTTTTTCTTTGTAAACAACATATTGTATCGTCTATATCAATCATATCTGTGTGGATGGGCTCACTTTCTGAATTTTCGAATAAGGCTTCCATTGATTTAAAAAATGTCTGACAACCATCTTCCTCACAGTTGGAGCCAGGTGAGTGCTGACCGCTTAAATTATTAATTAATAATGCAGCAAAGGATGATTCAAAGCCAGCAACAGTTGGGTTAGTGTTCCTACACCCATGGCTTCGAATCATCCCAAAGAAATTTTCTAATGGATCTTGGTTGAAATGCCTCATCCACACAGATTTTATATTGTACTCATTGAATAGTTTTTGTATGAGGTATTCCACATTATTTATAGTATGTAACCAATTATTTATGGTGGGAACTATGACATGCTTATCATTTGATTTTCCATTACTGGTAAATTTCATTGTGCTTAATACTTTTTTGGCTTTTGACCAAACAATACTATGATCGGATTTGGGCGTTACTGCCAATAGTAAATTTTTTCCACGCCTCTTCTTTGAATTTTCAAAGCTGCCATTCAAAGAGTCAAATAACTCATCGAAGAACAGGATAACATCAGCAGTTTGCATACACTCAGCAGGCAATATGTTTCTTTCTGAAAAAAAATATTATTCATTAGTATTTAGATTAAGATATATAAAAATTAAAAAAATTCGCCACTTTTTAGTCCTATTTTTAATCAGACAAAGTAAACTGATGTTTTGAAATGAAAGGTCATGAGACCAATGTAAGGTAGAGCCAAGCTGCAGGTATATTATGGTTGCAGAATTAATGGGTCAGCTCGACTAGGGTAGGAAGGACACTCTCACATAAATACCAGCATAAAATAGCAGCTTAATGCTGCTGCGTGTCATAAAGTGTAGAGAACCAGAGACCCTTTTTACCGGAAATGAGGCATTTCATCTTAGTCCTCAGGAGTGACAACACATCTGCATTTTGATCTTAATTGAGGATAAATGTAGATATCTTATTAACCACAGTATCCACTTACAGTCAGGTGAACTGTGTGCTTGTTTGTCACCCTTATTCTATAAGAAAAATATGCCATTATGATAAATAAAGAATTTGTTTACTTTGCCTAATTAAAATATGACTTATGCTGAGTTTAAGAAGTTTTTGGCCAAAAACCAAAAAGTTTTTTGTGCGTTCATGGACTTGGAGAAGGCTTATGACAGAGTGGACAGGGATGTGTTATGGCAAACACTGAACTCATTTGGGTTGAGCGCTGGCTTGATACAGGCATTGAAGTCTCTATATAGGGATTATAGTGCTTGTGTCGGGATCAACGGGGCCTACTCGGACTGGTTTGGCATCCATAAAGGTGTCAGACAGGGCTGTGTGGCTTCCTGGGGCTGTTCAACCTATTTATGGACAGTTGTTTGGAAAATTTGAAAGTAGAAGAATGCGGGTTAAGAATGAGTGAGTTAATCTTCAAATGCCTTTTGTACGCCGATGATCAAGTCATACTTGCGTCGTCGGCAGCCGAGTTGCAAATGATGGTTACATTAATGAACAGGACATTAAAAGAAAAGGGAATGAAAGTGAACGCAAGTAAGACGAAAGTTATGGTTTTTGAAAGAGAAGAAAGTAAAACAATATGTGAAATAAGAATAGAAGGGGAGTTGGTAGAGCAAGTAGATGAGTTTGTGTATTTGGGATGTGTGTTTAGCAGGGATGGTAGATATGATAAGGATATAGAACGACGAGTGAATGTAGGAAATAGAGTGAATGGGACTCTACACTCTATTGTGAAAAGTCAGAATGTGCCCAAAAAGGCACGTATGGCAATTCACAATGCTGTGTTAGTACCTACTTTAATGTATGGTAGTGAAAGTTGGGTGTGGCAGAAGAAGCACGAGAGTAGAATAAATGCTGTAGAAATGCAGTCATTAAGGAGTATGTTAGGGATGAATCTGAATGACAGAGTGAGAAATTGTTTAATAAGAGAAGAGTGTGGTTTGCAAGATGATGTTGTGACCAGGATTAAGAAAGGAATGCTTCGGTGGTTTGGTCATGTAGAAAGAATGAATTAGGAAAGAGTGACAAAGCAAATTTATGTTGCAGAGATGAACGGCAGAGTCGGGAAGGGTCGCCCTAGACGAAAGTTTATCGACCCAATTGGGGATATATTGAAAATTGACGAGCGTGTATGCGTAGGTATATGGATCGTGCCAAATGGAAGTCCATAGTCTCTGCCTACCCCTCTGGGTGACAGGCGTGAGTGTTTATGTATTTAAGAAGTCACTGAGACACTGCCTTAGCATGCTATCCACTCGTCCAGAGAACATCAACAAATATAATAGTAAAATACTTAGGGAACTTCTACAAAAGCAAATTTTTAAATTTTAGGGAACTTCTTACAAAAACAAATTTTTAAATTACCTGCTAAAAACCCCATTGTAACTGCAACTTTTTGGCTTAACACCTGTGTTGCATATTTCACCTTCATTTTTTGAAATTTGTCCGGATTTAGATGTTGATCTGTTAATTTTTTACTAATCGTATCCCTTTATATGCAGGATCCTTTGCATACAGTTTTACTATGTGGTCCCATTTTGCAAATTTTTTTGTACCGTCAATACTACATATTAAATGTTTATTTATTAAATTATTTCGAATTCCCTTTATTAGGTGAGGCAGGTCATACAAAGAAATAACTTCTTTGTCATCAACTTCAAAGGTGTCTCTGTATAGTTCCTCATTTTTTAAAAAATATTTTCCTTTAGTTTCCTTGATGAGGGAGTTTATGGAACTGACATTATTAGTCCCTTGGTCACACACAGTAGCTAAGACACGTAGTCCAACACCATGCAACTTTCTTATCACCTCTTTTATTAATGTGGCAAGTTCTGCTGTGCTTGTACTGCCTGAACTGAATGTATATGCCACTGGTTGTTTATAGTTTTTTTGTATACCTCGTATCATAAAAACAAGAGCATGGTCAGCTAATTTTATTTGCTTTGATTTTCCATTATGTGCAAAGCCTGAAATTTCATCTTTTCTTAAATTGTAGTCAAAGTGTGGGACAATGGACATCTCATCAAAAAGTAACATGCATAACTTTTCATTATCTTTCATTTTTTGTACTCTCTTTTTTAATTGTTCGAAGAGATTTTCATTAAGCCCTGGTTTCAATTTCGCCCGTGCTATGAGTGTGCTCAGCGTCATAGATGAAGGCAAGACAAAAATGTTTTGAAGCCACCTGTAAGCTCTAGGGCTTCGTCTGTATAAGCTTAATGCCATGATTTTTTCGGGCTCTGTAAATCGCCGTCCCATTTTATTTTTGCCTGATTCACGAAACTGCATTAATGTGAACATAGCAGCCAAGGTTGTGAATTTTTTTTAATGTATTTTGAAAGGTTCTGTTTTCAGACAATTTAAGAGCCTTTTTTAGTCTGGTTGCATATTTTTCTTTCTTTATTTGCAGTTTATTCACTGTCTTAATCAGTTATCTTTCATCAAACATTGGCTTTTTCTTAGGCAATTTTAGATTTTTATCCTTAATCTTTACTTGTTTTTCTCTTGTTATTTGAGATGAAGTTTCACCTGTAATATTTTTCAAAAGCCTATAGTATACAATATGTAAAATCAACTGTAACAAGTATTTAAGGAAGGAATAAATACAAACATGAAAGATCAGATATACATACAAAGATTTATTAGAGAAGCAATAATATAAAAGTCAGTAATGTATATAATCTCTATTGCATTAAATCCTACTTACTGACTATAAACTAATATGTTTTTTTACAGTGTAAATATTAAATAATAGTACTATTACAATGTGTTTTATTTGCAACGAAAATGTTTAGTAAAATAATTGAACACTTTTAACAATTTTAATTGACAACTTTTTACAATTTCAAGATTATAGTTCACATTATAATCCAATTGCAATGAAAAATTCAGTCATGAAGTGGCATCAAATGAGCCCTAGAAGATCAATTATTATTATCATGTGCTACAGGTCTCATGTCTTTGGAGAATTTATAACATTAAGTTCTTTATAAAGAAACAGTTATTCATTTTATGATATTGTGTGCTCTTGAAGAAATTGAAAATGATATTGAATTGATATTGTATCATGCTATGCGAATATTACAAAATGTTGGTTAACTAGATTGTTTATTCCTCTCAGAAATGTAGTGGAATTTCATCTTAATATAATAATATGTTTTACGTACCTCTAGAAGTGGATGGCAATACAGCATCCAGTAAAGCATTTTCTGGTCTATTTGTAATGTCAACCAGTGGAACTCTAGCCATTTCTGAACCTGTAAAAAAATGAAAATTCTATACTTCTACTGTTAAAACATATGGGTGGTAGCAGAGCAATGGGTTGACTGGTAGAGAATGCCCTTGAGCATTAAGTCCGTCCTTTATATCCTTTTTTATATGGGAATGCAATTTTTTTTTAATTTTAAATACATTAATAAATATAGTTGTAGCAGTGTAAAAGTTCACAAAAATAGTGCACAAATGTGAGACAATATTATTTTAAGGAATACAACATTAAATCTCGGCTTTTAAACGGTTTACACTCTGCTGGGCAGCTTTCGGGAAACTACGACACATCTTCTCGTTAGACATTCCTCAAAATCTGAAAACGAAATTGTACAACCAGTGCGTGTTGCCAGTGATGACTTACGGATTTGAGACGTGGTCCTTCACTGCTAGCCGTATGAGGAAGCTCAAGGTTGCTCAGCGAGCTATGGAGAGTGCTATGCTCGGAGTTTCTCTGCGTGATAGTCTTAGGAAAGAGGATATCCACAGTAGAACCAGAGTAACCGACATAGCCCAAAGGAATAGTAAGCTGAAGTGGCAGTGGGCCGGCCATATAGCTCGAAAAACCGACAACCGATGGGGAAGAAAGGTTCTCGATAGGCAGCCTCGTACCGGTAGGCGAAGTGTAGGGCGACCCCCCCACTAGATGGAGTGACGACCTGTTAAGACATGCAGGAAGTCGATGGATGCAGGTGGCTCAGGACCGTGCTTTGTAGCATTCTTGGGGGAGGCCTATGTTCAGCAGTGGACTTATGAAAGGCTGTAATGATGAAGATGATGAACATTAAATCTTACCTGGCAAGAGCAAGGTGGGAATTGCATCAGGACTTAGTCTTCTACTCCATGTTAGAAATTTTGTCTCAAAATGGGCATGACACACACAGCGGTTTCGATACACATAGTGGGGATCCAATGATGTGTAAAGTCCGACTGCTTGAGATCATTTAAGATACCGATCCATATCCTTATCAGGATTAGGAAAGAAATGCAGGACTGTATCATCTTTGCCTAAAAAAATAAATAAATATTAGAACTGATACTCTTGTGTATTGTTAAATCTGTTGATGACTGACTCTTAAATGACTGACTGATAAATTTAAACCTTTTTTAAATTAGGTCCTGCATGTTCTCTGGGATTTTGTAAGTGAAAGTTTAAAAGTGTATACAATGCCCCATAAAGCAATAAATGTATTTACAGAATGTACATCACTATTTTTAATATTGTTTTTGTATACATAGATTAAATTTTCATAAATGCTGAGTGGTAAAAGTTAATCTATGTATTTATTTCTTTAAATTTATCTCTAAGGGATTTCTTCAGACCTAGGTTATGAATTGCTTTCATGGCTCTCTTCTGAAAAATAAAATAGTTTCAATGTCAGTTCCAATCATTACCTTTACCCCATAGCAAGATTCCATATGACATTATGCTATAGAAATAACTTAAATAAACTAATCTAGCTGTTACCATACATACATATTATGTTGGCCAAACAAGGCATACATACATATAAGGCCTTTAATCTTATTTACAGCATATGCTGTAGACTAAGTTTGTTTAAAATTAGTTGTAATTCCGATAAAAACAGTGGATTCAACAAGACACAACCATTTTAAAGCACACTGGTATTCACCTGTATAACATTTCGTGTTTTAAATTTAATAAATTTTGTTTTATTAAGTACCATTTAAAAGCAAATTATTGATTATAAACCAGGTGTACTAGTTTTGATGAATGTCCGTTTAAATATGATGCTATAAGTTTACAAGACTTATTACAATACACAATTTCTCGGGCCCTGCCCACAGGTACAGTGTAGTGTAATAAGAAACAGGGAGTCAGGGACCCTAAACAGGGCAACCTAGTGGTTCCGACCACCCTGCTTCCCTGTTGCGCTGTGGATCATGTAGTGTAATAAGAGACAGAGAGCTCAGTTGCGTGGCCGCAAGTGCAGAGTCTACATGTCTGTTTATTATTTAAAGTTCTGGGGCGTCTATCTACTCTAGTAAAATATTGCTCGTAACTATGTTGTGCGCTAAACAAAATGATGTATCCTTCTCAATGTCATCGACATCTACAGAGGGCAGGGGCTGCTCTCCCTCCACACCTCCGGCTTTACAAAAACACTCTAGGAGTAGGGCAGACAAACTATGTGGGGTCGGGGCGTGCTGGTTTAATTTTAGTACAGATTTGATCAGATCAGCTATTTTATCTATAAAGTCAGGTTGCCTTTGATCCCGCCACAACCTTCTAACCTATTACAACTGAAATTATTTCTGGGTGTTCAAGTATTTCTGGACAGTTTTAAACAATTCAGAAATAAAACAGTAATTATAATCATTTCTTTATTGTCTGTAAACATAATTTGTTTCTATTAATTCCTCAAAAGGATCTCTTTTACTCCTTATAATTTATCTTCTTCATAAATATTCACACACATTTTAGGTTATAATAGTTTTTATTTATTTTTTCGATAATGGTGCATTACTTTTTTTAGCAAGTTTCGTTTATATTTTTAACTATTCATTAATTTGTTTGATTCTTAATAGCAATCTACGTAAAGTGGAACGACATTTTCTAGGCCTAGCATAGCAAAATTTTAAAATAGCGACATCTACTGCAACATGGACAAACTGTTATGACGTGTTAATAAGTCTAAGAAAAATTAATGTATGTACTGTTATTCCACTGAAACATACATTGCAAGTTATATAAAAGCTTTTAAAAAAATATACTGATTCACATTTTACTTTTCTGTACCAACCTGTATTTTAAACGCTAAACTTAAAAATGAAAATGAAATATCTAATACAAAATAATACTTTATTGCCATTATACAAGGTCTTGTTTTTATTCGCTCTTATATGTACACATTATGTATTATGAAAATGAATAATAATACTATATGTTGAAGCCACTGATAACATCAAGAACTTTGAATCAATTGCCAGATTTTAACAGTTTTGTCCTTGCTAGCTGATATCAGAGTTTTAGAGTCGACATCTAGGTGAAGCGATGTGATTGAATCTGAAACAAAATACATTTTTATCTATAAAGTCAACATAAGTCGATCAAATAATTTTTAAGCTCTTCAGCCTTACTATATTAAGAGAACCCATTGGACCATTTCTTGGGGAATGCCAGAAATATCAAATAGCTTTCGATAGATGGCAGAATATCATCTCGTTTACACTTTACACTAGACTTAAAATAGAACAACGACGGGCAGTAGCGTCAAGGTGCCGTTTCGCACATTGGTAAAAAGTGACCGTCAATGCGCGTACCAAACGTGATGATTACGACAAGTCCTCCCTACAACAGGAATACCTGCCGCTTACCTGAATATGAAACAGATTTCATACAACATTGACTATTTATTTATTATGTTCTCCTCTGAATTCTTATAGATATCACTATGACAGTTAAAAGAAGTTTAAGCCGTTTTATTGAGCAACGGTGAGTCCGGATGGCTATTCGTGAGCTAAATCACAATTGAAAAATATACAACCGTTAATCAGCCAATATGACAGTTAAATTTCTTTTTTCATTAGTATTATGAGACGTTTTATCCGAGGATCGAACTCTGCCCTGCCACTAATATAAAAATGTCCATGACTACAGCTAGTATTAAAAAATACGTTCAATTTTATAGGTATCATATATTTGCTATCCTCCATTAAATATTAAATTCAAATACCTGGTTTAAGTTTACTTAGTACCATAAAATAAAACATCATATTTTTAAGGATATAAAAATAAAAATGTTATTGTTATATAAATATATAAAATACATGTATTTGCTTAAAATTCTGCAAATTTTTAATATTTCGCAACACCTTCGTCGGCGACAGTATCTTTGAACGTGTGGCGGTATCAGTTACGCCATCGTCAGAGTCAAAACAGCACAAAAGAAAAAACACCGTTGAAAAGCGATCAAGAGACAAGTGTAAAATCGTAAACATGCGGAGAGCGACAACTCGCATCAACGCACTCTTCCTTGCCCCAAAACACTGAATAATCATAGGAGGCCTGTACTCATCGGTAGGATGTATGAAGGCCTTTTTTACACTCCATTTTGACAAATGCAAAGAAGAACGGTCATCTGTGACCCAGACCCGACAGAAACGAGACATTACTTAGTTTTTTTGTTATTTTTTATATAGTTAAATTATATATTTTTTATATTCGAAATCAATGGCTAGCACCAAAATATTGCCTTATGTTTTTGTTCAGGCGATAAACAAAAAAATACAAAATGCCTATTTATCTACAAAATTCTTAAATGTATGTAACTAAATGACGATACAATAGCTATGGGATGTATCTAGGTGACCTGGAGATGCAGCTGGATTATGTAATTTTTAAACTTCTAGTACAACAATCAACTTGGATTCATTAAATTATCACGTGAGGTTAGCACGGTCGTACTGCAGTGAGCATTTGAAAACCACGGGTATGGAGATATATACGAGTAGACATCCAGCGGCAGTAGAGGGCAGAAACAATAATACTGTAATCGGGTGCAGAATTCATACACGACACGTTACGACAAAAATGTATTATACTTATATTATGTTTGATGAGAATATGAATGGTATAAACGCAATAACAGAATATTACTGTTCGTGCTACCATGGTAAAAGGACATTGGGAAGTTGCTCACACCTCATTAGTGTTGTCTATTACTTAGGGTGGGCTAGACATCGAGATCACTTTGACCATCCCGTACTGGGCATGGATTATGTTTTAAGGGACATAGAAATTCAATAAAACTTTATTTCGACATATTGGTTTTCTTTTTATATATATAGATCATGTATTAGGTGTCCGCGGAAGACCAGCGTCTTGACATGCTCCAGGAGCATGTCATGACAAATGCTGAGCGGAAGCCTGTTTTGGCACAGTATTAATGTCTGTTAACCATTTGTAAATGTGCATGCATCGCTGTGCCAATAAAGTTTATTTTCTTTCTTTCTTTCTTTCTATCATGGAACCCTAATGATCTTCTCCAACATATCTGAAGGACAAATTCCTATATCTCTTTTCAACTCATGATAAGGTTCTTCGCTCCTCATCTAATCATAAGCTCAGTATTCCATCTCATTTCACTGGATTCACCAACAATTCTTTTACTATTCAGGCAACACTACTCTGGAACTCCTTGCCCGAAAACATAAGAAGAGCGCCAAGTAAGGATTGTTTTAAAAAGTTGGTACGCGAGTTTTTTTTGAGTCGAAGTGATGTTCGATGTTAAGAATGGTGATGTTAATTTTGACACATTTAGATGTTTTATTATTTGTAATTTCAATATATGTATTTTATTATTATATGTAACGTATATATTATATCTATGTATGATACATATTTTGTTCATATATTTACATATGTAAAGTTTTTGTATATTATACGCATATCTTAGTATGTATGTATGTATATGTGTATGTGTGTATGTGTATATGTATGTATATATGTATATATATATATGTATGTATGTATATATATATGAGTCTGTATGTATATATGTATATATATGTATGTGTGTGTATGTATGTATATATGTATATATGTGTGTATTTGCACCTGCCACAAAATCTCATCACTCCACGGGTTGACTGGCAGAGAATGCCGCTAGGCATTAAGTCCGCCCTTTGTTACCCTTTTTATTAAGGTGTAAACAAAAAAGATTAAATAAATAAATAAATAAATAAATAATGATAGGTACCTAAATCTCTGATGTGCAGTGAATCATCGAATACAACGATTTTAATGAATCCTAAGTTGATTGTTGTACTAGGAGTTCAAAAATTATAAAATCCAATTGTATCTCTCCAGGACACCTAGATACATCCCATAGCTATTGTATCGTCATTTAGTTACATACATTTACGAACATTTTTTTTTAGAGTAACGCCTAAACAAAAACATAAGGCAATATTTTGGTGTTAGCCATTGATTTCGAATATAAAAAATATATAATTTAACCACATAAAAAATAACAAAAAACCTGAGATGTCTCGTTTCTGTCGGTGTGGGTTTTTTTTCTATGGGGCGTGACCGTTCTCCTTTCAATAAAAAAATAATTGTTGCAATTTTCTTTCTTATTTACTACCGTTACAATTGCAGCCAATCAAAGGTCCACTGCTGAATGTTGGCCTCCCCGATAGATTGCCCCATATTTATATACGGTTTGTTTATTTTTTATTTATTAGGAAGACGCGGCTGCCCATCCTGGTTTATTTCCCTATGTCGCCTCTTACGAAACCCACTAGACTATAAAATATGGTATTGGATATTCTTACACCGCCACTACAGGGTTTAATTTGCTAGAAATAATAAAATACAGAATATTCAGTACCATTATGAGCATTCTGTTGATCGACTTGTGTCACGGTGATCATGTTCCATTGCATCAAGGTGCCAGCACTGCCGCCAAGCCACAGTGTACTGCAGCCATCCCAGCAAAGTGATAACATTGCTGCCGACATACGCTTGTGATACACCTATAAACAAAAAATAGATGTTATATCTCTATGAGCCACAGCAATCACATACCATCAGGTGGACTGGGTGGTCGTTTGTCACCCTTATTCTATATAAAAAAAAACTATTAATAAGGTAATCTGTGAAGCGGGGGGGAGGGGGGGGGGGGTGCTACGTACAGCAGTGGAGTTGATTGGCTGTAATCAATGAAGAATAAAAAAAATACTCAATGTGTAGTGTTCACTTGAGTTGTGCGTATATTAGTATAGTTACAGGTTCTTCCTCCTTTGTAATTATTGGTCCGCCTATTTAAACAATAATGCCTTTTTAATAAGTGAGAAAGATAATGTGCATAGTCCACATACCACATACACATACTAATACCATAATTTTTTTTTTTTATAGGATCGGGTGACAAACGAGCACACAGTCCACCTGATGGTAAGTGGTTACTGTGACCCATAGACATCTACATCTATTCTCAATAAAGACTCAAGATGCAGATGCGTTGTCACCCGTGAGGACTAAGATGGAATGCCTCTTTGCCAGTAAAATGGGTCTCCGGTTCTCTATATTCATCATACGAAACACAGCAGCGTTAAGCTGCTATTTTACGCTGGTTTTCTGTGAGAGCGTGGTCCTTCCCCGGTCGAGCCGACCCATTCATGCTACAACCATAATATAGCTGCAGCATGGCTCTACCACGTAGATAATGTGTAATAAATACTAATAGTGAGTCAACTCGGCGACTAGACGGAGCAACGATGAGGCGCGGTACGAAAGAAAGCGGAGTAGCCTAACCCCCTGCCCGCGACGTCTTCGGTAGTACCGGTCGGGTTCACTTTTGTACCGTAACGGGTGTACAGGAGTGTCACGTACACGGAAATAGTTGCACACGTTTGGTGTTCACCCAACAACACGAAAAAAATTGTATTACGCCTTAAGTAAAATTGAATTCTTATAACCATGTGATTGCTTTTCATCACGACTTTTTAAGTGAATTATATGTAAGGATGAGAATTCATTATATCATTAAATTCAACAAAAGATAATTAAAAAAAATCCAATAACAACGAGGCAGTGTGCGTTGAATAAACAGAACCAACATATAATTTTAACCTATTTTATTCATTCTGTTCAACCCCTATCTAATATTTTAAGCGGAATATCTGAGATACCGCTATATAGGTAAAATATAGTAAAATTAGGTAGGTACCTCAGCACAAACCTTTGTTTCCATCACGACGAATCAGGTAAAGCTGTGGGTCGCAACTAGTTTTGTAAAGTAGTAATTAGTTTGCATCTTTGTATAGAAAAATAAAAAATTACGAGGAATACAGATAAATATAATGTTATGATATTTTTATCCAAGGAAATGTTTTTATGACAACCCTTGCATATTTTTAGCGAGTAAATGTCGAGACCGACTTGTAGGTATTTTGCGGTATAACTGTTGGAGTATGGAGTTGACCCACTATTAGAATTTATTACACATATGCTAATACCTACATCTGTTCTTTAATGTAAATCAAAATGCGGATGGCAAAATAATTTGCATTTAGATTAACCATATTGATAAAATCTCATTCATTTCTAAAGTTCTCTTACCGAGTGCAAAACGCTCAAATCCGTTACGTATACATCGCCATCTTCGCTGGTTGTGACGATACTATCTCCGGACAGAACTAACGAAACTCCGCACACCGGTGACGAGTGAATTCGGACCTTGTTCATCAACTCCTTAGATGTGAAATCCCATATAAATACCTCGCCGTCACTAGTTCCCGTTATTATATCCAACTCAAAACGCCGGTACCTGATTGAATAATAATGATATTATAAGCTAGATGTTCCCCGCGACTTCGCCCGCGCGTAATTTATTACGATTGGATTTGAAGGGGTTTTAATTTTTTGTGCGGAACCCTAATCCTTATTCTAAAATAAAAGTAGCCTAAATTACTTCTTATAATATCAGCTATCTGCCAGTGAATGTCCGGTCAAAATCGGTCCAGTCGTTTCAGAGATTAGCCGGAACAAACAGACAGACAGGCAAAAATTTTAAAATCGTGTTTTTGTTATAAGTACCGTATATACTTTCATATGCATATAGTAAAAAGCTGTTATTTCGACATTACAAACAGACAGTTCAATTTTATTTATTTCTATAGATTATAAAATGTGGTCCTTCACTACTAGCAGTATGAAAAAGCTTAAGATCGCTCAGCGAGCTATGGAGAAGGCTATGCTCGTAGTTTCTCTGCACGACAAAATCCGTAAGATAATCCGCAGTAGAATCAGAGTAACCGATATAGTCCATCAGATAAGTAAGCTGAAGTGGCAATGAGCTGGTCATATAACTAAAAAATCGATAAGCAAGCGGTGGAGAAGAAAGTTTCTTCACAACCTGGTAAGGCATGCAGATAGTCGATAGATACAAGGGGCTCAATACAGTGCTTTGTGGGATTCCTTGAGGAATGTCCTATATTCATCAGTGGATTTGTGAGCGTTGTAATGATAATGATAATTTAAACAGTGGGTTCGGAAAGGCTCCTCAACTGCTAACACGGACTTTCTTAACCTTTTCAAAAGCCAAGCAGCAATGCCGCTTTGTTGCGTTTTGAAGGGTAGCAACGCGAGGATAATTACAAACTATGAAAGTATCAACTCATTCCAGTAATACTATCTGGAGGTTATCACCGCAAAGACTAATCGACAGAATATATCAAAATCATGGTTTATTAAATTACCAACTAAAACGTCGACGTGTAGTGGTGGCATACGAGAATCCACTACCCCATATCATCCCATTTAGTGTAGTAAGAGGCGACAGAGGGAAATGAAGTAAGAAGACGGGCAGTAGCATCTTCCTTATAACAACTCAAATAAAGAAATGCGGCTGCCAACCAAATATGGAAGATTTATACCATAGTTTGGCATTTGGCAATCTAGGGAATGGACTATATGGGGTGTGAATAGCATTAGGGAAAGTTATAAGACTGGCATGGAGTATCTTAATTCTACATTTCTTGATGTCATGATGAGGGGATAGAGAGAATTTTCAGATTGGTAAGTTGCTTATGGATGAGTTAGGAATAAGTCAATCATAATTTTTGCCGAAAAGACCGTACAAAATAATCCCACCTGTAAGTTACTGCAGTAATCTTCCCGTCATGGTCGAATTCCGCTTTCAAGCCGCGCAAAGCTTGACCGATTTTGCCTACGCTGCCCCACACGCGTACCACCCCATCCCAACCACCAGATATTAAAAGCCGTTCTGTAATTTGAAACTGCATTAAATACACCATGACCTGTTTAATCCGAAATTTCCGGACTAGAGCATGCAATAATATTATATCATTACCGCAATTTCGCGCTGTATTTCAGTACCGCAAAAGCGAGATTACAAATGCGAATTTCGCGATATTAAAAACGAACAGTCATGGGGAAATCCCCGCTACGAGTCGTCGCATGTTGCTTTTGCGTGCGTAGGGGAATTCCCAAAAGCGAACAAATATACCTTTGCAGTCTCAGATTAAGTATTCTGTGTCTCAGTATACCCCGTATGTCGTTCCAGAGTAGGTGAAATCCTGAAACGAGTTTGATATAGACTTTTTGCGTAAAAAACAAATGTAAAAATGAATACTACAACTATAATTAATGGAATTCAAAGACTTCAAAAGTTCTAACACAGTGTGAAAACATTTTTTGCTATTAACACATCGTCAATCAGCGAAGTGTAAACTATGTCCAGGTATTATTAAACATAGTGGCACTACATACTCATTTACGAACTAAGCACGGAATTGGTGCAAAAAATGTTACCACCGAAGAGATATCAGAAGAGGTAGATTGCCTGGCGCAACACCAAATACGAGTAGCAGCCAATCGACTGAAGTAGTAGCTACAACCCCAACCTTATGCGACAACAACAAAGATGACATTGAAAAACTACCTCAAACATTGCCATGAAAAAGTAAGGTATCATACTATTTTGAGAAATCTGATTATCATTCTATGAGTATGGTGGCAAAAGATTACCATTTAAAATGTTCGTTACTTCAGAAGATATATGATCATTGTTTGTGAAAGCGGGATATAAGTTGCATCAATCATCTAATTCCATCAGAGATAATATCGTAAATTTTGCGATATTAAGGTCCCGATACCGCAATATTGCGGTAATGAAAATATACTGCGGCATTGCATGCTCTATTCCGGACATAGTTATTTTTATTAGTGTATATTTTAGTATGTAAATGTTGTTGTCATACACACGAGATATATTCTAACATAAAAAAATAACTAACTGTAAATCTTGTAAATGTCGTAATAAATGTATTATTTGTAAAGTAATGAATACAATTTTACCTTTAATTAGCCAAAGTAGGCAACTAACTGAATCGTCGTGTGCACGGAAACTCTCCACAACCCTTCCGTATTCCACGTTATACAAGTATCTAAAAAAATAGAAATAGAAATCATATAAATTCAATTTCGTTTTATGTCAACGTAAGAAAATCCATAACCCCATTACGTCTAGTAGGTGTCGTTACAAGCGAGTACGGGCAAGGCTGCAAAAAGCCTCCGGTAGATGGCGGTACAGCCAAATGTAAACACCTAAACGATTTACATGTGGTAGAACTACTCTGCAGCTGTATTATGAAAGCAGCTATTTATGCGATCGACTCGACCGGAGCACTTAATGCTAAGGCTCATGCCACTGATTCGTTATATTTTTAGAGCTAATGCATATATTATAATCGCCATGTTCCTTTTGAGCTACTACATTAATTCTTATTATAAATATTCAGTGAGTGTTAAATGACAATTCAAATTAAGAATTACTTACATTTCATTATCCCACGAACCAGCTGCGACTGTATGTTCATCAACCATCACGCAAGAACTTAAAGGTGTCGAACACAAGACTACACTCCGCATCTGTTTGCCTTGGCCCAAATCATACACTTTCAGCGTGCCATCCTTTCCTACAGAAATAATTTTCGAGCCTTGCCGAAGCACACAAGTGACAGCTTCTTTATGTAATCGTATTGTATCTATACACTTTATTTGAACCGGTCGAAATTCACTTCCCCCTTGACTCAATAATTTTGGAATTTGTGGTGTAACCTTTCTAACATGTGGTTTAGTAAAAAGTTGCTTAGGCACTTGTCCGAACTCCATTATCTGTACTTCTAATGCGTGTCTATCGTTCATATCGTAAACGCGTTCAAGATCAACCGAACCTTCGTAGCACACATGATGAAATACTAAAATAAGAATAAAACGTTTTATGTTAGGATTAATTTTCTTTTAAAAGAAATATGTAGTAGTGACTGTAGATGGATTTATTTATCCATCATGCTGCAACCCAGTGTAGTGGCGGATAAGAATACCCACTACCCCATATATTCCCGTGGGTGTTGTAAGAGGCGACAGAGGGGAAACTGAGATGGGCAGCAGCATCTTTCTGATAACAGCAAACCAACAATAAAAAACTGCGGTTGCCAACCCGCTCGCCAAGTGTAGCATTTTTGCAATATACCCCCCATGAGCAATGACACTATTAACGGTCCCTAGTCCCCGGCGGCTACGGTGGCTACCATGGTAACGGCGGAACAGAGGGTGCTAAGAATCTCCGGTGGAGATTCGGTTGCCACCTAAGTCGACTTGACCGGGCAACATATAACGCACGCACCCTGAGGAGTGACGAGAAGAGAGATAGACAAGTTACGCTGGAATATCATAGGATTATCTGAGGTCCGAAGTGAGGGGAAGGACATGGTAATCCTCGAATCCGGCAACTTGTCCTATCACCGGGAGGGCAACCATTTGTCCCAAGGAGGTGTCAGATTTATCATCCACAAGTCTCTCGTTAACAACATTGTAAAGATTGAGTGTGTCGACGAGGGTTGCGTACCTTATACTCAGAATCACCAAACGGTATTCGCTGAAGGTCATACAAATTTATACACCAACCTCGGCACACCCAAATGAAGGGGTGGAGGAAATGTATGGGGATATCCCTAAAGCCATGCATTCCTCCAAAGCCCATTATACGGTATTAATGGGAGACTTCAACGCAAAATTTGGCACAGGAGAGAACGGTAAGCTGTGAAGGTAGGGAAATTTGGAAAACGGCAACGGAACCCAAGGGACAAGCAGCTGGCCGACTTGATGGGGAAAGAGGGACTCTTTACGATGAACTCTTTCTTCCATAAGCGGCCCCACAGGAAGTGGACCTGGTCGGGCTTCGACGGTTCGACAAAAAATTTGATTGACTTTGATTGATTGATTGATCACCAAATGGTGAGAGGCACACTGAACCTAAACGTTAAGTTGGAGAGGTCACGTCTAATGAAGAGAACGAAGGGGACAGAGCGTTCCGTCCCCCTCGTGCTACTGCATAAAGGTGTAAGATAGGGTGACGTAATATCCCCGAAACTCTTCACCGCTGCATTGGAAGACGTTTTCAAACTTCTGAACTGGAAAGAATACGGTATTAACATCAATGGTGAGTACATCACTCACCTTCGATTTGCCGACAATATAGTCCTTATGGCAGAATCGCTGTAGGACCTAAGCACTATGCTCAATGATCTCAATAGTGTTCCGAGAACCAGAGAGCCTTTATACTGGAAATAAGGCACTCCATCTTAGACTTCACGGCTGACAACGCATCTGCATTTTGATTTGCAAACGAGCATAGATGTAGATGTCTATGAGCCACAGCAATCACTTACCATCAGGTGGATTGTGTGCCCGTTTGTCACCCTTATTCTATAAAAAAATATATCTAAAAATTTTACTTTAAATTCTTTCAATTATCTGTATATTTAATATTTATCTAATAATAATATATTTAACAATTAAATAAAACAAACCATTGTTAGCCTTGACAGCTTCTTCGCCTCTTTGTTTATAACCAAAAATGAGATCAATCCATAAATGCAAATGTCTAGAAACAAAATCAGATTCCAAAGCTTCACGGAGAGTTGATACAAATTCCTCTGGGGAGCTTGCCCATGGTGGAAGCGTAACATTATTGACTTTCGACCCGTCGTAACGTTCCCCAAAGTCTATTTCATGCTTATTCACCAGAAAATCAGCCTTAGCACTCGTGTCATAAAACTCTGGAACTAATTCCTATGAAATAAAATATTAATATGATATTGGTAGGCTATTTTATGTTTCACATTTCATCTTTGTCCTCAAAATCAATTAATCAATCGCGGCTATGAGCGATGCATCTGTAACTGCCATTGTATGAAGTTGGTTGCAGTTGCAGGTTGCAAGCCATCAAATTTTTGCATTGTCACTAACATTATAAATAATTGGATTTGTCCAAATATATCTGGCTTTTTTTCTTCGATATAAACGTATTTTTCGAAGTTTAACGATCTTAAAATACTCTGACAGATAACATACAATGATTTTCCCATAAAATTTGAAATAATAAGTAAAAAAACCTAAATAAGTCTATATCACCTGAGGATGCCTCGTGTAGAGGCGAAACACGTGTCGTATTATCGTCAGTGGTGTGTCTTGCCTAGTGTAGTGGTGTTGGGAGTAGCGGTGCTGGGATTAGTGGTGACGGGGATAGTGCACGCAATTGAGGGAGGGCGGGAGGTGCTCTTCATACTAGGTAAGACACATCATTTTATTTTATAACGCGGATATTTGCGAAGTAAATTTTTCTAACAGCTTTTATATAATGGATTTCCGCAAAGTAACGCCTGATTCTATTAATTATACTAAATAACACTTTCAAAACATAACATTTTAAAAGAACACTATAAACTCTATGATTAAAGATTCTCTTAAAAATAAGATATTATATAATACTCATATGACTTTTAATTCAAAATAAATACCCACCTTAAAGTCGGACATGTTATTTAAACAGTTGTTGTACACATCTCGCACCGAATTGAACATTCTATCAGGATGATCAAATTTTCCATTTTGTAAACACAACATATACCGTGGATATTTTCGAACCTGTAACATATTATGATCATGAAATTTTTTAAAACAATTGTATAATATAATCGATCGGCCGAATACACACTACATAAAACATGCGTAAATATAGCACCCAATTATTTACTTTAATTTTTACTATCCTAACGAAAATAAATGAAACTTTTAATCTCCATTAAAAATTTTATTCTCTAAAGTATTTGTAAATTTATTTTATTTTCATGAGTATCGAAACCATATTATTAATTAAAACACTACCTTCCTCACTTTAGCGTATGTTATGAATATGACATATTTGATTGATAAAAGCTAATAATGTCCTCTAGATCGAATTTCGGCCACGGTGGCCATTCTCAAACGAGACTAACCAACAGGTTCTGCGCAAAAGGATTATAGTGCCCAAGTGTATGCGCATGCATTCCTCACTCTCATAGAACGATGAGCCGGTAATCTGACACGACCGGTGGGAGATCAAGCGCAGGACCAACGGCTTTACGTGCTTTCCGAGGTACGGGGATTAAAACACCGTCATCTTCCTGACTCCGGGCTGCTAGTGAGTATTTCTTGACAGACAAACCCAACAACTGATTTTGGCCCGACCCAGATTCGAACCCGGGACCTCATGATCAGCAATTACGACCAATAAACCAACGAGGCAGTGATAAAATCTAACAACATATTTTAAAGAAAAACTAACACTGTTCTGTTCTATCCACAAATTTTCAGGACGTCACCACATGAAAGCAGCCAGCAGCCATGAAATATAAGTAGAATTTTTTTTATTCTATATAGAATATAAATAATACTTATTGAAAGTCACTTTTTTGTTTAATTAACACTGGTTCGAAAAAAATCCTCTGTCCTGGGAAGAACCAGCAAGAAACCCAGCGGGACTTATTTTTAAATAACAGCTTACAATCATGTATGTTACACAATTAACCATACAAACAAATTAGAAATAACTTGGTAGCGATCACCTCATTTATAGGGGTTATTATCATCCATAAATTCCTTAATATTATAATAACCCTTTTTATACAAACTTAGTTTAATAAAGTTTTTGAACTTTGAGCAGCTCAAATTTTGTATATTTTCAGGGATTTTGTTGTAAAAGCGTATACATCGCCCTAAGAATGAATTACTGATTCGGTGGAGTTGAGTAACTGGTACTACTAGCTTGTGTCTGTTCTTCGGTATTTACGAGGGGTGATCCAAAAGTAATGATAATCGGTTACTTCAGGTCCGCATAAAAATTCAAAAAAAATATTTTTTGCTTGCTTATATACTCACTACGTCAGCCTAAAAAAATCATATAAATAGATCACGATTTCCGGGAGATACATTCATTTGAATACGAACTGTCAAAGAGATAACATCAACATGGAGAAAAACGAAATTAGAGCTGTCATCAAGTACCTCTGTTTGAAAAAAATGTCTTCAAAAGACATACGCAGTGACTTAGTGGAAACATTTGGGGACTCTGCTCCTCCATATTCTACAGTTGCACGCTGGGCTAAGGAGTTTAAACATGGGCAGAACATCCACTGAAGATGAACATCGCGAAGGACGTCCATCCACGTCCCTCACTGAAGACAACGTGAAAAAAGTCGAAGATGTTGTGTTGGCAGATCGAAGAGTGACCATCAGGCATGTAGCTGAGGTCACAGGGATCTCATATGGCAGCGTTCAAAGAATCCTTGCGAACAAGTTGCATATGAAAAAGGTCTCTGCGCGTTGGGTACCCAGAATGTTAACCGACGAGCAAAAGAAAAATCGAGTTGACATTTTGAGGGTCAATCTCGAAAAGTTCCAAGCAGATCAAGAAAATTTTTTGTTCCGTTTTGTGACTATGGACGAGACCTGGATCCACCATTTTGATCCTGAAACGAAACAACAATCGATGACTTGGAAGCGAGCCTCCTCACCGACGCCAAAGAAATTCAAAGTTTCAAGTTCGGCGGGAAAGGTTATGGCATCTGTTTTTTGGGAAGCTCAAGGCAAAATTATGGTGGAATATTTGGAAAAGGGAGCCACTATTACGGGCTCTTACTACGCAGACCAAATAAGAAGATTACGGGAGGCCATTAAGGAAAAAGGACGCGGCAATCTGCGAGCTGGAGGGCTGTTTCACCAAGACAACGCACCGGCTCACAAAGCCGCAGTTGCGATGGCTGCCATTCAAGAAACGGAATTCGAACTGCTCGAACACTCTTCCTATTCGCCAGATCTAGCTCCTAGTGATTTCTACCTCTTTCCTCGGCTCAAGGAACGCCTCCGAGGCAAGAAATTCGAAGACGATAGCGAAGTAATGGCCGCTGTTGAAACGTTTTGGGAGGGTCAAGACAAAGAATTTTTTTTAAAGGGAATCCTGGGTTTAGAAAAAAGATGGACTAAATTTATTGATTTGTTAGGAGACTATGTAGAAAAATAAATTATTATTTTAACTTTAATTACCGTGTTTTATTTTCATTATCATTACTTTTGGATCACCCCTCGTACAGAATGAATATCACTTATTTTTGTGAAACTACTTTTATTTTTGTGTATGACATGACATTCATAACGCATCTGCATCGGTTGGGCATACTCAGAATGAAGTTGTCAAAATCCTATTGGGATATAAAAAATGTTAAATTATCACAATCAACCCAATTTGCATCAAAAACATGTTTAAATAGCGATTTTCAACAACAAAAAAAAAACAATTACTCTGATTACAAAATTCGCTTCCTCTAGTTCAACTCAATTTTTACTGCTAACATATTTTATTTTTTCTTTTATTTTAATTTGTAATCAATCTGGAATAAATGACGAACAATTTGATGTTAAAAACATTACAATGTGGCCAGTACTTTTTAGTCGGTCGATGTTATTAGAAATATCCCTATACTGACTATAATGTGTACATTTAACAAATTTCATAGCAGGGGAAGTCAATTGGTTGGAAAAGTGAATGTTACTTTCTGAAATATTAGTTATATTTTATATTAATTAGATTAGAAATAGGTAAACCAAACTATGCATATTCCAAAAAGAAGGACATTAAAAAAAAGTTAAAAATGTGTAAAAAATCAAAGAATACAACACGGTTTTGTTTTGTGTATATAAAACACCAGAAGCAGAAACTGCAATTTTTTCATGATGATGACACTGACTGTGTGACCAGATGGTCGTGGTAAATAAGTTCACTTTACTAACGACATCCAGTGAGCGTAAAATTATTATCATTAATTCATCTTTATGTCCATAGCTGTAGTATAAGGATGGTATACATCTCCCTTTTAACTGGGAAAGTGGCATCCTAACTTAATCTTAGACTTATCTTAAACACAGAAAAAGGGGTCACATCATTCATTTGCATCCTACTTTTTAAAATCTTTACTTTAAAACATAATATTTGGATATATAATATAGAGTTTCTACTTACAAGGTAAAACAATACTAGACCCGGGGCAGAATAATGGGATCCATACAAAAACTTTGGTTCATTCATTTCATTATATCTTTCTTTTAATTTTTCCAAGCGTTCAGGATTTAAAGCTCCCATTGGTTTTGATAAATCTCGAAAGGTATCAGAATTAGTCAGGTCTAGCTTTTCTGAACTATAATCAGCAACCACCCATGGAAATACTGGATATTGAGTGAGATCATTTTTACTTCTGTCTGCAAGGCTAAAATTAATTCAATACATTATAAAACATTTAACTAATCAATTGTTAAGCAGACATAAAACTTATTAAGTTAGAGTATATAGTAATAAAAAATTATTAAATATATACAGGGTTATTTGTCAAGGAGTTGCCAAATTTTAAACTTAAGTTCAAATATATAAATAATGATATATCCTTATTGCAGTTTTTGAAAATACGAATAAATAAGGTACTTTTATTTAAAATTATCCCAAATTGAATGTGATTTATGGGCAACAACTTTTTTGCATACCAATCTACCCTTACGAATGTATGCGTGCGCAGTAAAATCAGTTAAAATAATGCATTACCACGCATTTTGGATTTAAAAGATAAAAAGGAAACATCTAAAAATGAAGAAAGGTAAGCATTAGTGACTGGTACACTTTAAAAAAAAGGTGGTTCTAAATTAGAATGTATTTTTTATTTTCTTTTTATGTTAGGCAATATCTTCGTAAATTGCGAACCGATTTTAAACAAACGACCATAGTTTAGGATAGCTGGAAAGTCGCCCTAATTTACCTATAAGATAGCCAAGGGGACCTGTTCTGTAGTAAAGTATATAAAATGTTGCCGCCAGAAGTTTTGAAACATAGGAATAAATAATATTACAAGTTTAGTGCATTGATCATGATTGGATTCTTGGTGAGGTAGGGGTTCTGTTTTACTCCTAAAACGATGGTTTAGGTACCCTGTTACGTGATAAGGTTACCCTACTTTTTTGGTAGAATATTTATATACCAAATAAATAACAAAATATAAATATTATACCAAAAAATATTTCTAGTCATTTAAATTAATATTTATTAAAAAATCACTAGAAATAATGTTTTGTTTAAATTATGCTTACACACCAGTTAAGATAAATCAAATAATCGTAATTAGAGACAATGCCATTTTGCCACTGTAATGTCATTTCTTCTACATGCACTCTATCTAATTGAACATACGGTGATTCTTCAAGAATTCTGTATATTCTGTCCCTGTCCTCTTCACATGGAAACGTAAGGTAAATATGAGATACAGTACTTTCTTCTCCACCATAAATCTCAAGACCCTAGAACAATAAATGGATTTTATATAATGAATTATTATTAGTAAATTCATAAACAGCAAACAAACAACAAAATTGAATGACGTTTCTTAATGTTTTTAATGTTTAATAACTAAATTAAAAAAACAGACCTTCCCCAGAAAATCAAAAACTTAATATAACTTGGCAGGATATGTAAAACACAAACATTTTTCAAATCAAGACAATGTTTTTTTTTTTATAGGATAAGGGTGACAAACGAGCACACAGTCCACCTGATGGTAAGTGGTTGCTGCGGCCCATAGACATCTACATCTATCCTCTATTACAAATCAAAATGTAGATGCGTTGTCACCCGTGAGGACTAAGATGGAATGCCTCAATTCCAGTAAAAAGGGCCTCAGGCCACCTGCACTCACCAAGCGAAACGCAGAGGTAAACCTCTACTTCACGCTGGTATTCTGTGAGGTCGTGGTACCACCCCGGTTCGAGCCGGCCCATCCGTGCGACAGCAAAAGCTGCCGCGTGGCTCTATCACTGTTACAACTGTTTCTCACAAGGATATCTGGGCAACGAGAAATTTGAAGAATAGGTTTTATTTATCTTTATTGCAGTCAATCTGTACCCGAAAAACCAAACTGAACCAATTTTAATTTCTTTATTAAGAACAGTACAGGATAGGTTTATTTTTATTTTTTATGTGATTTAAATTTGTTTGCAGGTTGTCCAATAATAGTGATTATTGAAATTTGAGAAAATTATTTCTATCAAGAACAAAACATGTCTTAACGTCATGTCAAAACAGGAACAAGACTGGTCTTGCGACTGCTGGTAGATAGGTTGTTTTGTAAAAAAAAAAAATTGCTCTAATGTCATTATTCTGAAAAAAAAAAAACAGATGAATGTTTGTATGGACTAAATGCTGCCCAGGTATCCTCTAAAACACCCTTACTGTGGGTTACTGATTACTAATTTGATACTAATAAATTTGTTGTACTAACACTTTTTGTTAATAATATAATTTGAAATGAAGGACATTGGATATTGTTTAATTTTTTATATACTATCATAAGCATGTTCAAATTGAAACAACTATTAGAAGTAACATAAAGTACTATGATACATACAACTTGCCTTAATAGAAATCTTCTTTTATATATTTTTCTCATCTTTTCCATTTTCAGCTTAAATATAGGACTCTGAAAATCAAATTATTATGATAAATAAGCATGATTTTTTTGGCATGGCAATTATTTTTCACAGAGCATGAAAGTAATCAAATTTTAAATTGAGATGATAGCAATGTGTTACTAAGTTATAAAGTGATGCTAACATTAATCTTACAAATGAGTAACCCTTATACCATATACAATTTTCATGGATACATTCTTCATGAATCTGACTGCATATTGGTAAAAACAATGAAAATCCTACAGTAATCTCTAAGATTAGTGCAAACATACATACAGACAAACATGGCAGAGGACTACAATTTATAGTATGTATATATATATGTAAGCTCTACATTATTACATTGTATATTATACTATCACAGACTGTACCAAAAATTTATCACCAACACTTATATTCTATTTTTAATTATTTCCAATTATTTCTAATAGAAAGTTTCATAATTTTCAAAAAATGCTAATCAAACACATTTTGCAACATTCATATTTTCAACACACTTGCATCCCAAGTCAAATATTATTACCCTTGTAAAACTAAAAGGGAAATATCGCTAAAGACCATGTGTGTCAAAATGTTTTTATTACATTTGTAAATACAGTGGTGCCTCGCACAGTGAACGCTGCACACAGCAAACTTCCTATTCGTTCATTTCATGATTCATACAACGAACTTCGCTTCACACAACGAAGTCGTCCGAGCTTCCACGATCGCTGCCGATGTATTGCATCCTCCCGCGCAGGCACTTACGCACGTATCACGGCAGTCGTCCTTTTTAGTTAAAATCAATATTTTTTTTATATCATGGCTTCTAAAAAGGCAGGAAGGTGATTTCTGTTGAAATGAAACAGGAAATAATTAGAAGGAGTGAATGTGGGGTAAAACAGTGTGACCTCGTCAAAGAGTTTGGCCTCAGCAAGACCACCATTTTCACCATTTTGACAAATAAGGATGCAATCAAATCAGCCAAAGTAGCTAAAGGAGTATCAAAACTATTTAATGAAAAACATAGGTCTTCAATCCACAAGGAAATGGAGAGGCTATTAGCAATTTGGATTAAGGACAGGCAGGTGAAAGGTGACGTAACAACCCAAGATATTATCTGTCACAAAGCCAAGATAATTTATGATGATCTAAAGAAAAACGTCCCTGGAAGTAGCAGCAATCAAGATAATGAAGAAGAATTCAAAGCCAGCAGGGGGTAGTTTTTTAGATTTAAGAAAAAGTGTGGAATCCACAGCGTTACTATGCATGGTGAGGCTGGCAGTGCTGACAAGAAAGAAGCAGAAAACTTTCAAAAATGTATTAAGGATGAAGGATACTGCCCACAACAAGTGTTCAATGCCGATGAAACGGGTCTTTTCTGGAAAAAATGCCGAGCAGAACCTACATTACAAAAGAGGAGAAGAAATTGCCAGGACACAAAGCCATGAAGGACAGACTTACCCTTATGTTTTCGTCTAATGCCAGCAGAGACCTCAAGATCAAACCTCTATTGGTTTATCACTCTGAAAATCCAAGAATTTTCAAGAAAAATAACGTTATTAAGTCCAAACTGCCCATCCATTGGAAGTCCAATCAAAAAGCCTGGGTGACCCAAGTTATCTTTAACGAATGGATTCTGGAAACCTTTGCTCCTGCCGTGAAGAAATTCTTGCTGGAAAAAGAACTGCCGCTCAAAGCCCTTCTGATACTTGACAATGCCCCTTCTCACCCAAAAGACCTAGAGGAAATATTGCAGGAAAATTATCCTTTTATCAAGGTGCAGTATTTGCCACCAAACACCACATCCATTCTTCAGCCAATGGATCAGCAAGTTATTGCGAACTTTAAAAAACTCAACACTAGAGCCTTCTTTAATAAGGTGTTTGAAGAATGCGAGTTTGGTGGAGACAATATGACTGTCTGAAAGTTTTGGAAGAAGAAATTTGATGTCCTTATGGCAATACAACTTATATAGAAGGCCTGGGAAGAAGTGTAACAAAGGACCCTCATTTCTGCTTGGAAGATGCTTGTGCCTTCATGTACCCAGGAAGAAACAGTAGTTGATGACACAGAAGTGGTGAAGGACATCATCACAGTGGCCCAAAGGTTGGAATTAGAGGTAGAGGAAGAGGATGTAGAGGAGCTTATTGAGGAACACGAAGAAGAGCTGACAACTGAAGAGCTCCAAGCACTTCTGGTCCAGCAAAAGGGCAATGCTCAAAAGGAAGCCTCATCTGATAACGAGGAGCAACAATCAAACAATCAACCAATCCCAACTGCTGACATCAAGAACATCCTGGTCAAATGGAAAGCAGTTTAGGAGTTTACCAATGCCCACTATCCGGATTCAGCTGAAGCAAACAGGATCAACGATCTTTACTCCGAAACTCTTGTCCGTTATTTCCGGCAGATGTGGAAGAAAAGAGAAAAACAAACGACTTTGGACAGGTTTTTCATGAAACCATCGGCCAAAAAGCAGAAAATGAATGAAGATTCGGTAGACTCTACTTAGTCTGTCTTAAAATTAAAAAAATGTTTTTTTAAAAAAAATATGTTTTTAGATGATAGATCTAAATAAAAATAATAACAAAAAATTTATCTTTTTTTATGTCATCTTAGCATATTTTATGCTACAGAACGAATTTTTTTTAACATATATTGGTATAGGAAAACGCGTTTCACATAACGAACTTTTCGCATAACAAACTTGCTCCTGGAACGAATTAAGTTCGTTGTGTGAGGCACCACTGTATACAATATCATCTTGATGAAAACTTACATTTTCAATATTACTAAAAGGCTGGAAGTACAGTGTTGAAGGTGTCAGTGCTAATTTTCCTTGATGCCTTACAAGGGGTGATATTTTTTCCACTTGCAATTCACATATAATTTCTTCTGTGAAGTCTTCCATCATAACAGGGTCAAATACCATTCTCATGTAACGTGAATGTAGGATTGTAGCCACCATGCTATTGTGTTCAGGTGCATGTAGAGTAGATGCTCTCTGTAATTGCTGCATTTGGTACAGGCATTCTTCGGCAGAGGCAAAATCAAAGAAAAAATAAAAGTCCTTATTTTCATACTTAAATTTATATGGTGCTACAATATTTTGTTCTAACATTTCAGAATACTGCTTAATATTCACTTTAATAACATTTTTTATGTCATTCTCATACATTGGTTTTACAATACTGATATCGCAACAGTCTTTAAAATGAAATTTTGTTAGTGGGTAGATCCATTCTGTAGGTTCGAAAACCAGTGATTTAGAACAAAGTTTTAAGTGGCCATTTCTAACTTGACCTAATGTTTTTGATTCTTGTGTATTCATAATGCATGAGAAATCTTCAAAATAAATTTCACCAGGTTCAAGCACCAGCATGGAAAACCTGTAAGAAAATTTGTAATAAATGATTACATTTATAATATTGGTGCTACTTCAAAATCTTTATTATTCAGAATTAATAAATATTTAAAATTTAACCAGTCCTCTAAAAGACCTAATATATATTGATAATTAAAGTGTGTTTTTGTTTATTATGACTTAAGGTGGAAACTACAGGCTGCCCCGCGAAATTAAAATTTTCTTGCGTTTTTTGGAATTTGCAGGTCAGGGTTAGGTTGTATATTTAACAAAATATGATTCCCCACCGTAGCGATTATGTGTTTACAGAATTATCATCATTAAAATCACCAACCCTGTAAGTTCATATTTAAGTTTATTATTTTTTTAAGTTTTATAAGTTTTTCTGGATAAACTCATTCATTTTTCTCAAAAAACGCAAGAAAATTTGAATTTCGCGGGCCACCCTGGAGCTTCCACCTTAACACTGTGACTCTAACATATGATCATGGACAGATACTCAAATTATTAGTATTTTTTTTTAAATATTGATTTTTATACAAGCTTACAGTCCATCTTATGGGTGTCTACTGCATCGCATAGATGTGTAACAACTTTCAAGCAGAGAACTACACAGGAGCATTGTGATCCTTGAGAACTATGATGAAGTGCCTCACAGCATGTCATTATACTTTTTTTACTCTTCAAACCAGAACACAACAGTAGGTGGTAAAACTATAGACATAATACATACACTGAATTCTTAGTTAAACATGTTTATGCATTGACTATTTATTAAATTAGTTATACTAATTCCGGAAGAATGTTGTGGTCACCGTACAAAACCACAAACACTAGGTATAAGTCTTGCTAGCCTAGTAGGTATTCACTCGCATTCTAGACAAGTTAACACCGCTGCCACTTGACACAACTGTAGGTAGGTATTAGTGCCGAAAAAAGCTGACAATACATGATTGGTTACGTTAAAGAAATACCTTCCTATGAACATTAACAGATGTCTGTCAGAACTCTGTGCATTGAGTTGTTTATTTAAGTCTAGTAAACATTTGATTGCATCTTTCTATCACACTTTTCAGGCTTTGTACTTTCGACTCTGAATAATTTTGTTTATCGATTATAATACAATGTCAATAGGCAATATTTGTTACAAAATGTTATGAATTTGCATATCATTTTAATTGGAATTGAAAATTATAATGAACTGCTAAAAATAAAAGGCAATACGACAACTTTATTCAAAGACGGCGTGTTTAAAAGATGTGAATCAAGATTGCAATAAATTTAAGCATCAAATATTTAACTTACTGATAGCCTAAGCTCTCATGCAATGTTGTATTTTAATACACTTTCAAAATGTCCACCACGGCTCCGTGGCTTAGCAATTGAGTTGCAGCGTTAAGGGCCGTCGGTTCGAATCCCGCACGGAACAAGTATTTGAATGGCCTACAAATAATTGTTCCGAGTCTGGATGTTTGTCCTTGTACAATTTATGTTTGTAAACTGCCCCCACAATACAAGAGAAAATTCTAGTGTGGAAGTTACAAGTTACAACAACAACAAGAAGTTAAAAAGAAAGAAAAAGAAAAAATAATTTAGAAAGCAATTCAGTGTCATTTTTCACTATTCTAAAAGCATTCATTATCCTATTTTTAGGTCCTCGGCAATTGTTATCTCACTAAAATAAACTAATGATTTAATACATTTCCATAAAAAAAAGTCAAGAGGCATCAAATCAGCTGATCTGGGAGGTCAATGGCCTGGCCGCCGAGATCTTTATAAGGCACTCCAAACTCTGTATTTGTGAAGACTTTGACATACTTGAAATAAGCTTCAAATTTCTTTATTTTGTATTGAATGATGGAATTTGTATTAAAACAAATAAAACTGCACTTTTAAAAGTCTTATTGCCTTGAGTTACGGTCCATAATAGTTTGTTTCGACTGTACAGGTTTAGTGTGACTGTAAATTACGTAAATTATTTTTGGGATAAAAAATTGCCTATATTAAAAATGATAGAAATCGATTCAGTAAACTATTCTGAACAAACTACTTTCAGGATGTGCGTTAATTATGTTATGTGTTGTATAGCCAACCCGCCATGGGTGCTACAAAGCACTCAAAAACCAAAATTAAAAATAAGTTGAAATAAATGCAAAATTCATCAAATCATTTTTATTCAATGTGTGGTATTTGCAAAAATATATGTAATCATTAATCAATAATTGCCCCTTTTTCTTTTAATGTGATTTAATTGGGATATTAGTAAAATAATCTACGAAGCTATTTGCTCAGGGACATTGTCAATTTACTGAATCTACTCAAATTAAATTTTAAGATTACATTAAAAACACTGGAAAATTGGCTTAAATTAATAGTATTGATATTTTTCTATACATATGTTGTGATTTCGTAGATAAAACACACATAGAATACATAGGTACATATGAAGATATTCTGAGATTTGACCCAAATACAGAAAGGAATAAGAATCCATACCTTGATCTGTTCATATTGTAAACATAAACAATAGGACTGTTTCAAATTATGGTAAACATCAATGAATCCGTTTTATCCCAAATCTATTAGTAATATTCCTTTCATTAAGTTTTCTGTAACTGTATTGTAAATCTGTAACTCAATTTCTCCTAACATAACACCTATATTTATTAAATTTAATAATTTAAATTAACACCCACAGAGATTAACACCCCAAAATCATAGATAAATAAATATCATAGATAAATAAATATGTACCAAGCTACCTAAAATAAGAATTAATATTTTTTTATGTGACTTTAATGCTCTGGGTTCTAGTCCTTCTGAGCCTAAAGAATTAATAAGAACAGACCAAAGAGTATATTAACATGCTTAAGCATCATATTATACTCGACCAAATCTAAGAAATACGTTTTGACGTTTCACATTAATCGTTCCGCAATAACTTTGTACAAGCGTACTCACAAGATTTAAAATAACCTTTTACGTAAATCCAAAGAATTATGTAGTCATCTATATTTCATTACAGCATATTATATAGTTTTTTATCATTAATTCAAGTTCGAATCTTTCAGAAAAAGCAAAATATTAAAAAAATAACCAGTCAACTTTTTTGCCTGACGTTGTTTCAATGATATATCGCTATGTACCTTACCGTAGTGTTTAAATGATTAAAATTCATTGTTATGCGAATAATCGGTAAAAATGTTCAATAAATCGAATCTTGAAATGATTTAATTTATTATTTGTTTATTTAAATTTTATTCTAGAATTGCTTAAATTATATGAATCGCGAATTAAACAAGTTTATTTATTTTATGACTTCCTACTTTGTCAGTGTAAACTTGTGTAGGCAAAGAAATTCATATGCAAAGCCGCGCTGAAAAAAAAACACTACGTAATTCCAATCTCCCGCCATTTTGGGAGCTTACTGTGCGTACTTCTGTGATTTTATGTTTACCTTATTTTGTGATTGTGTGACCTATAACTTTTTGGACTGATTCTACTATATTCATTAACTTTGACAAGTTATATAAATAGGAATATCATAAACAATAATATCTCATATTACTATTTTGATCATATTATCTAAATAAGAATATCCTACTGCAGCTTAGTTGCAAGAAAGCTTAACAGATGGCAGTTTATATAATGGTAGTCTTTGAGAACCATTTTAAAACGCATTTGCGTTTCCGATATAAAAAAATGATAAACGCAAAATAATTATGGAGAGGCATGACATAGCCTCATTAATAACCGATGACACTGCAGCATTTTGCTCTCTCTGGTATCCATGGGAAAAGGTGATGCGGGATTCGCTGGAGGAAGAATTGTAGAAAATTGTTTATTAGCTTTCCATTCGAAGAGTACAAGAGAATACGATGAGGAAATGGATGCAGAAAAATTATAATTTAAAACTGAAAATGTTTTACAACCGACTTCAAATTCTAAAATTATTAAGAATAACTCAAAAACTATTACTGTTGTACACTTGAAAAACGTTGCCTCCTAGGATTTGCTCCTGTATCGTGAAGGCAGTTTACAAACATAAATTGCACGAGGACAAACATCCAGACCTGGAACAATTATTTGTAGGCCATACAAATACTTGATCACACACAACTTGAGGATGATGAAGGTTTGTCCTTAAGTCTTCCCATTCTGCAAGCGGAGCGGTGGCCGCTCCCCGGGCAGAACACCTTGCCCGGCAGGTCCAGTCTGAGCAGGGGGTGATGTGGCGGCGCTGTCGTCGCGCCACAAGCGAAACACATCGAAGCCTAAATCGCGCTAACAAAGTTCCGAAGTTAAAACAGTATATATAGTAGTAGAATAGCTCCGAACTACCAATCGGAGCGTTGGCCGCTTCCCGGGCAGCACACCTTGCCAGGCGGGAGATCTCCCCTTTTCCTTCTATTTGAATTGTAAAAGGATTATTATCACTTGATACTGAAAATCTACAAAAACGGAGATTCCGAATTAAATGAAGACATGGCTTAAAGAACAAGCATCCAAGCCAAAAATCTTAATAGAAAAAGTATATATAATCTAAACGGATTCATCTTGAACTTGATTACTTGATGTTCAGACGATGATCCCTCTTTCGATTCCAACCTATCTATTTTATCAGCATGCTTTCGTTTCAAGTGATCTCTTTCTTAGATTGGTCTTATTTCCTAAATGTTTATATTCCTGATTATAAAAGTTATACTTTACAAACGGACTATTACTGTCCACTATCTAGAAATAACTTCACATTAATGATTGATTTTTAGGATAAATTTTCGGTTCATTATGAAGTCAAATACAAAACAAATCAGTAAATTATAAAACGCAAGATCAACCACCCGTTCTGGCACTCACACAAATAGCGACTTACGTCAGCGTCACACATATTAATTAGCTATTCACACAGTTTATTTACAGGGATTTCTCATACCTTAGACTAAAGGGACAGACAGACATCTATTAAAGACAAAAATTACGATAAGGATGGCAATCGATAGTTTAACCAGACTATCGTTAGAATCGATAATGCAAACACTATCGATTAATCGATAATCTATCGATGTTTAAGGAACACTAAAACGGACCACAGACTAGGTAGAGAAAAAACGGACTAACACGGACGGCGCCATTTTTAAAGTTTAGCGAAATAATTAATATCTAAACAATTAAACAAGTAATTAACTATTCTTCGAGAGGTATACTTTTTGTAATGTAACATGGAAGAACATAAAAATGCACTTTATCAAATGCGTTTTCCTCAGAAATTGTGGTATTTGCTTAGTTTGCGTACTGATGCAATATTATGGGGTGGTACTGGTCGAACAATTTTATTAAATTATAGAATTCTTTATAACTATCTTCAATGCGATGATTCTATTTTTAAAACAACAAATATATCCAGTTTCGTTAGGCAACTTAACTTGTATGGTTTTCGAAAAGTAACTTCGCATCTACAAGATCCACTATGCAACTCAAGTAATCCGTACATGCATGAATATATTCACGACTTTTTCCAATACGGAAGGCCAGAATTACTAAATAAGATCACACGAAAAGCTTTGACTTTAAAACGAAGCTTCAAAAACAAGGTAATAATATTAAAATAAAATATATTATAATGGAACTTAAATTGACAATGCTGTTTTGCCAATTTGTGTATTAACATATGAAATTCATAGAACATTTTCAGTACCGCTGACCAAAGTACATTTCTTACTCCACTGCAAAAAGCACGACGGGCATTACGACTTGCATTAAAGAAAACTGCTCAAGAATTATATATTCAGAGTTCACCAAAACGATTTTCCAATATTACACATGATTTTGAAGGTACTATCAAATGTATACATTTTATCATAGTTATTTTGTGTACAAAAGTAAGTAAAGTTAAATAAGAGCTGAGTATAAATGCCTATTCTACATTTTTTTAATTTAAATAACAGCATAGGATAAGAGGTAATAAGGTAATTTTGTGCTATCAAAGAAAAGCCTTATTTTAGGTAAGATTTTGTGTAAATAATGATATGCTTTGTAATGTATAATGTATTGTTAATTAATTGTTTGTGAGCCTTTTCTTCAGGCCTCTTTTTCAAACATTACATAATAGCTCACTGCTAAATCTATTCCCATTAAAAAAAATAGTAATAGAAATTTCACCCTTTTATTGAACCAGGTTTTATTACTTATACACATTATTACCTGAAAATAGTATTTTTTTTATATTAAAATAATATAAAAAATAGTGAAGGACTCTTAGTTTTACACAGTTTATAATTTCTATAGATTTTTTTGTAAGTGAATGCAAAAAAGGTTCAATGTGGCACAGAAACACCTACTTCTAGCATTGATTATGACTGATGTGTTTCTTGTTATCATTTAAAAGAATTCAAAAGGAGGTTCTGTACACTCACCATATGAAATCCAGTAGCATTATTTGCTATTTTTGGTGAGTGAGCAGTCCTCTGTCCATATCTCGGAATCTAAGCAACATATTGAAAATTTTTAATTTTCGGCACATCTCGTAGAGATCTATATATAAATCCGCCTTAAAATCGTGCTTATTTAAGAGTTGTCAAAACACTAAATTTGATAAAGGCACATCATGGCAGCTAAGTTATTGTTGCAGCATGGGTCAGCTTAATTCCAGTTTCATATGAAATCTAGAACAATTCATCTCTTAAGCTGTTTTAGTCAATCTGTGTATTGCCAAGGTACAAGCTACTGTGTCAGTTGCTCACACTTCAAACAGGTTCTGCTTAGAGGAGTGTTCATAAAACCTATGGCAAATAGATATTTATGAAAAGGAACCATTAGAGGAATTCATAGTTTTAGGGCTTATTAGAAAGCATCTTGGATATGCATCTGATGTTAGGTAGCTTTTAGCCCTTTAGTCTGCTTAGTTTTCTACAATCATGTCTGCAAGGGCGTTTCCAGAATTATAATTTAAAAAGAAGTGGGGAGGGGGTCGGATGTCTCAGATTTTTAAGTTGTAAGCACAGGTAATTAATAACCTAAGACAATATCAAAAAACAAAATGTTTTAAAATATTTAATATTTTATTTACATAGGTAATATAATTATAAATAGTCATGATGTTTTGATAATTATTTTACACAAAATCTTACCTAATATATAAAAATAACTTTGATAGCACAAAAAGCAATAGTAAAAATGTAGTTTTATTAATACATTAATAAAGCTACATTTTATTATTATTAATTATATAGTATTATTATTATTTTCTTTGGGGGAGGCCTATGTTCACCAGTGGACTTGTGAAGGGTTGTAATGATGATGAGATTATTATTATCTTTCACACTGTCAATGTTTGTTGGCCGATGTTCTGATCTGACTTCAGCCATGAGAACAAAATCATTTTAATAAAGCAAATTATCATATTATCTGGTAATAGTGGTAGTAAAACTATAATACTTTTTTGTAGATACACAAGATGATTTTTGTGAAGAAGAAAGTATTTCCATTGATTGGCAAATCCCCAATAGCCAAAGCAATGAAATGCAGAAGGAACAAGACTGTACAGGTTATTATCCTTATTCCAGTCCATTCATTCCATTATCCTTTTTCCTATATATTAATATCCTTTGGACCTACCTACAGAAAAAGATAATCAAGAAAATGATTTTGTTATTACTAGCATAGACCTGCAAAAATATGGGTGAGTAATGAACAACTTTACTAGAATATTGAGATACCTTAACTCATTTTAATTGAAGTGTCATTATAGGAATAAGGCACAAGATAACATAATGAGTTTTAGTGATGACTCCTGTCAACAAAATGTTGATAGTTTCCCTGGCCAGTTTTTAAATATGCCAGACCTTGACCCTGAACCATCAGAAGCTTCTGGTGTTGAGCTACTAGCAGAATTCAACATAGAAGAAAAGGACCCTGGCATTACAAGAAAAGTAGAAAATGAAACAAATGACCAACAATTTCTAAACTGTGTACTCCCATCCATAAGCAATGATCATAATGATGATGTGTCAATAGCGGAGGTAAGTTGAGTTTATCATAGAAGTTTTAATATTAAGTAATATTGATGAGTTTTGCAATTATTTTTATTTCAGAAGCACAGTGCAAATACAAATCACTATCATAGTGAATGGGATCAAATGTTTAATGATATTATGACCAGCAAGGGATCCACACAGGAATGTTCATCAAATTTAAAGGAGCTCTATACTCAAATCTCTCAGACAATTCATTTGTAACTTATTTGTCATTACTATAATTTGTGGCAGTAAAAATAAAACTACTTACTTAATTATATGTAACACCTTTTATTATATGTAATGTAAAAATACAAGCTACTTCTCATTATTTCTTTTGTTTTTTCTTTTCCGCTTCTTCTTCCTTCTCCTTTTCAATAACCGATACATATGAATTAATGGTATCTATATCAAGCATTTGCATTGGTTGATTGCGTCTCATAACTGCTATCTCTAAATTCTTTTGTCCAGACTGTACGACTTCCAATAAAGCACGTATGGCAAGCTATAAAGGAATAATTATAGCTGTGGTAAGTATGAATGCAGCAATAGCACTTAATTACACTTTTTATAAATGGGTTCAAAAAGAGGCTACCACAGAACAGAAAAATCGATAGTTGTAAGTAGCTAAGCTCAGCTAAACTTTAAAGTAACAACCTTTGCCATGCCAGGGTGTTTTTCCACAATTTTACTCATAAGCCACCTAGCAGGTAGTAGCTTTTTTTACCAAAGCTATTTGTCCCAATTTGGGTTCAGAAGTAATATATGTTCATTTGTGCATTAGATACTCTTGTGGCAACAATTGTTAATAAACTAACTACTATATTTTACTCATACTGTATGAACAATGTAGAAAGAAAATGACGTTACAAAAATGCATCAAAAAAACTTCTTAAATTTAAATATTATGGAATCAAAATATAATACCCACTATATGAAATATTTGGGTTGCCTAATGTTTTGTGATATCAGTTTTCAATGTCGACTGAAATGAATTTTCTCAAATCATTAAGATTTCATATTAATAAATATCTGACTCAGCTACACCCATAATAATGTTATCACATTAGGTGTAATATTATGTATTGATGTATTTATTAACATTTTAGTGTTATATAATTTAAGTGTAATGATTAAAGATCATGTAGGAGATGACTGACATTGTTATTATGCCTGCCAAGCTTAATAGAAATAATGACAAAAATGGAAAGTTTTAATAAACAAAAATAAAATTGACTGTAAGATGGTGAATAACAAATAAATGTTATGAAGAATAATCTCATAGTAAGTGAGGCCATGATGCCAAATGGAGATTTACTTGAGCGTCGTGCGTACCTATTATATTTTATAAATTATTTAAAAAGAAAAAAAAGTTATAAATGTTTCCCCTTCCAGTGGTGGGGGAAGTGTCTACAGATTTTAAAAATGTAAAAACTACTACAGATGTTCAAAAATTAATTCCAGCACGTCAGATATTCAAAGGGGATGTTAAGTGAACCCTAAAACTGTTCCCATTCAAAAGACTGACGATTCGGAAGTGAGGCAAGCTCATAGCCATATTGATATACTCGAGCCTGATTATTATACAGAAGGCTGATTATTATACAGCTTAAGGTCCTAGTTATGGTAGCTTAAATCTAATGATTATTTTGAGGGATAGTAATACTCTGACTGCTAGAAATAATTTTTTTATGTTTTTTTCTTAATAACCATAATATGTGACTGGGGATGGCACGAGAGAGTCAGAGATAGGGAAAAAGTCAAAGGGAGAGAGAGGCGTGGAGTGGGGTATACATGCTTACTCCAGCTGCAGGCTCTTATCTTCATAGACAATTTTTATTATTTCAGCTTGTGGAAATTGGCAGATAATTTTTTTTCATTTTTGCATTATTTCCTTAAAAATAAAAAAAAATTCAACCACGCACGAGAATGTCCAGACAATATTTTTTTTTAACTTTGTAACAACCCTTCCACTCCCACACATTACGCTCAAATTGTCAGATTTTCTAAATGCACTCTTTTTAGCTTGTAAAGTAAATCCAAAAAATTCCCTCTTGGCCTCCCCTACTATCAGTATTCTACATCTGTTCTACATATTTCTAGTTTTAATATTTCAATCACTGATTGACGGTGTGACCACATACTCATCGATTTGACTGGATGTTTTAAGGGTGTCCCAGCTTTAGAAAATAATTTATTGTGAGAATGTCCAACAATTTTATTTAAACAGAATACCATTGTTAAATAGCAGCCAAATGCTACTGTGTTTCGTATTGTAAGAGACATTAAGTGAAGACCTTTTTTTCTAGTAACAAGTCAGTTCTGTATTCTGTCACATCAGTTTTATGGAGTCACAATACATCTCAAGGAATTGTCAAAATTATATAATAATTACTATTCTTAAAAATTATATATTTTTTGAAATATTTTTTGACAAATATACAAAACATGAAAATGTTTTGATTTGTACAAAATTTTTTTTCAAAAACAAAAAAAAAACTAAAATGATTTGAAACATTACCCTCAATCCTTTTTAAAGTGCTTCCACATATAGATTCTTAGATTTACCCTGAGCTCTGACCACTGCATTATATACTCTGATCTTAGACAACAGGAAATTATAGAGGAAACAAATTGTATTGCCGTAATATAATTGAACCAGTTTTTATGTCAGAGGATCACAGAAATTGGTAGCAGAATATATCACTTCAATAGCCAATAAAAGTCCACTGCTGGAAATAAGCCTTTCCAAGTACTGATTAATATGCACTATACTGTCATACTTGGTAAATTATGGTCCTACTAACCATGCTGGACTGGCTTGTTAGTGAGTGCAGAGCCTATACCCTCACATTGGGAATAATGTTGCTCATCATCAGTCCAAAGTTCAGGATAAGCATTTTTGGAAGGAATTTCTGATTACCAAATTCCTCCAATCAGTATACTGGTTATATGAGGTTGGCATTTAGAGCATTCTCTTATACCCTAAAAAATATAAGTAAGATTTAAATTAATTTAATAAATATAATAAAACATACCTTCACTGCACCCTTTTCAGTAGCAACTTCCTCTGGAGTATAATTTTTTTCCAAAAATTCTCTTACAGTTTTTGCTGATCTACCTGTAGCATTGGCCTTCCATTCATAAAAAATGCCTGAAGGTTCAGTTTGAAATAAATGAGGTTGCCCATCATAATCAAAACCACCAATTAGGCATGAAATACCAAAAGGTCTACGTCCATTACTTTGGGTATATTTTTGTTTAAGACCAGCAATGTATCTTGTTATGTATTCTAATGTAACAGGATCTTCCACAGTAAGTTTATGAGACTGACATTCAATTTGTGCTCTGTTTATGAGAATACGAGCATCAGCCGTCAAGCCGGCAAAAGCCATAACAACATGATCATCAAGCAGACAAATTTTTCGAACGGTTCTTTCTTCTTGAAGTTTAGCTACTGACTTTTTTTCAACGCCTAGTACAACTACATCATTGCCGCGTACACCCACCTGCAATGTTTATTTATACATTTTATTACAGTTAAACGAACTTATATTCTAAAAAGGACTAAGTAAAACGCTTACCGCCGTTGAGCCCTTGCGTACAGCTTCTTGGGCATATTCTACTTGCAATAAATGACCATCCGGTGAGAAAACTGTAATAGCTCTATCATATCTTGCCGACATTTTTCTATCTTATAATTTTATTTTAATTTAGAGTAGAATATCACTAGTAAATTGAAGTCGTCAAGTAGAGATCAAGCAGTATATTTTAATTACATGAACAAAAATGATGCCGATTCATTTCCAGTTTACTTTACTTTGTTTTTTTTAACTGGCTTCACGGCTCTAGGTTCTAGCCCTTCTAATGGCGTGTCTCCACCAAAGTTTTGTTGCCAACACAACATTTGTCAACACATTTTGTCAACAAATGTTTCTGTAATCACCTAGTTTTAGCAACAAAACGAAACAATGTCGGGAATCGTGTTTCCATTTTCAGCGGCAACATCAAAGGAATACGCTTGTTGCCGACATTTGTTCCCTCGGTGGAGACGCTTCTAGCAACATTTTGAAACATTTTCGGAAACAAATGTCGTCAACTTTTGTTGATTTGTCAACAGTTTGAAACATAAATGTTGTCAACATTTTTGGTGGAGACGCGCCATAAGCCTTACTTTAAGTTTAAGCAATTCATTCACAGGATCACAGGCTAATATGATGAATTGGTACTGGTATTTTTGTCTATGGTAAAATCATGAAAGCGTGGAATATATCCTCAGATTTATGATATGGTGTGTCTGTGATTTTCAAAGTTTAATATCTCTACATGACTTTCATCAATATACTTAAGGTGGCTACTGACCTGCCTGCCGCAGGGGCAATCTAGGGAGTAGGAGTGGGGATGACCCTTAATTGCCTCCTTAATTGTGAAGTGTGTAGGCAAGCAGGGGCAATTTTTTAAGTCGGCCCTGCGGCAGGGCGGCAGGAGCGCAGTGTTGCAAAAGTCCCCGATTTATCGGGAGATATACTTATTTTATTTAGTATCTCCCAATATCCCGATTTAGCGAACGTATCTCCCGATTTTTTTACATTTTCAACTAATGTAAAATAATAATCATAAATAAAATTGAAAAGTAATAATAAAAATACTAAAATGAACTTTTAACACAAAATCTATGTACGGGGACTTCCCGAAATTGCTCGAACCACATCCTATAGGACATACCTATTTTTATTTTAGGTTTTTAACTTCGCGGTATGATTAAAGCATATTGCACTGATACATCTTAAAATAGAATTCATTATTGTCTGGTAAGTGTACGGGGCAGATCCCTAAAGATTACTTTGTTCGGGTTGTTTTACGAATTAGGTAGCTTAGGCCATGTATATATAGTGTTGTTCGTTCATAGAATTACATTCACTAATTACTAGCCTTCTTCTGTTTTGTTGAGAACTGTTGTGCTTTATGTCCAAATTTGTTAGGTAGCATTAGTTATCAAAAAATTAATTTAGAATGGCGTTTGCTTCTAAATACGAAAGAAATTAAATCACTTAGTGAAGAAACAGAAGAATTTTGAAGAAGCGTGAGTAGCAAAAATATATAATCATAAAATTTTAGTTTAAATTATAAAGACATTATTTTAATCGCAAAAAAAAATTAAACGAAAAAGAACGACATCTAAAAGAACGTTTTATGATACATTTCTAAACCCATGGATGTAAATAAAAATCTCCCGATTTCTCCAGATTTTTAGCTGGCAAATCTACCGATTTTTTATTTTTCACTTTTGCAACACTGCAGGAGCGCAAGACCTTCCTTGCTCCCTAGATCGGCCCTGCCGCTGTTGCGTGTGTAGCGCAATTGGGCCAATTTCGTTCAGTTCATTGCGACCATAGATAATACACATTGCGACTTTCGCGAGGAGCTCACGTATGAATACAAGTCAGAACCGCGGAAAGAACGTTATTTGAACGTTGTTACTTACAAGTAACATTACTGGGATTTGTTACCTAACTTATCATACGAGCTAGTATGGGAAAGTAAATATTCCAATAATATTAAAATTGCTGGAATATAAATAAAATGTCATTAAATAAATATTTAAACAAAAATACAAATTTTAGTAAATAAATTTTATTAAAACCATCATTAGAAAACTATCCTGGCTATTTGTAACACTAGGTAAATTACAGTTACTAAGCACTAGATAGAACAAATTGGTATATAATCAATGTGTTCTGTGATATAATTTAACTTTATTTTACTTAATTACTGAACTTAAATTATGACGACTAAAGTTAGTCATATTTAATTGTCTTTCATAGCCTAAAAATAGCGTGGCAGAGCTATGCTGCAGCTTCTAAGCACTATATTATGGTTGTAATTATTAATTTTATTGATAAATGTAGGTGTCTATAGGCCACAGTGTCCACTTACCATCAGGTGGACTGTGCTCATTTGTCACCCTTATTCTATATAAAAAAGAGCCAAGGCTATATTATATACTGATTCATTGACATTTCGATAAAACTGGCGCCATTTTCAACGCGTGCGTCCAGCGAGACGTACACTCTCATACTCATACTGAACGGCAGGCGTGTGTGTAGAGAAAGCTTCGATATTGCTCCGATCGCGGTGCTTCCTACATTGCCCCTGCGGCAGGCAGGTCAGTAGCCACCTTAAGGCGGCGCGGCAGGCGGGGCCGTAATTTCGACGTTTTAATTTTTTTAACCAAACAACTAAAAAAACATCGAGCGCTAGTGAATCTTGGTACCGCAACTTTAATAAAAACCTCAGAGTACTTTTTATACATATTCGAAATAGTGAAATTAATCAATAGTATAATTATATATAATTAAAATTAAAAAAATATTAATTTTCACAAATTCTATATACAACACATTAAAATACGAAATAAATTATTGACCTTTAAAAATAATTGTTTTATTTAAAAATGTCCTAATTTTTTTTTAGGAGATGAAAACTTTTTGTTAATGTAGTGAATCCTAATTTTTAAAAATTCTTTGCTGATCAACTTTATTAACAAGTTTTTATGATCGTCCAGTAAATCATTGTCAAACGAATGCTCGTCTAAATCACTGAATATAGAAGTTGGCAATATTTGTTAATCATTGTAAAAAAATATTTAGACTGTCCTAAGAATTTGGAGCCTATTCTAATTTCGAACTCGCGCAGTATTTTTTCTACAACTTTTTTACACCTTCCGAAGGTTTAGTCAGGCCTCCTCTCTCTTTAATAGATATCAAAGAAAACGGATTCTCAGCACTGTTATTTTCCAAACTTTGGAGGCATTTTTCACATATGACGTCCTTTTTTATTTTTCTAGCTACATAACCAGCTATATAATTTACTACGTGTTGTGCGTATTTTGTTAAATTTGAGTCACGTAAAATATAATCATGGTCAGAATAATTCTTGGAATGGGTCTGGCCACCCAATTTTGTTAAGGGTATCAAAAAATTGTATAAAAAATTACGAAAGCAACGGTGTTCTTATTTTTTTTTCTACCTTTGAAAATGACTGAAATATTGATGAGTAAAGTGGTGTTTTACCGCTTGCTCTTTGCTCCGCATCACGATGTGACGTCACAATTCGACACGTCGAAGCCACCAATAGTGTTTATTGTTGTGAAGATCATTTTGATATAAGTTTCATTATTGTTTGTTTACATATATACCTATTGTTACCTATAAAATGTTTACGAGCCACACCACACAATACACCAGTGTTAATAACTATTTGGGTTTTACATACCTACTTACCTGTTCATGAAATAGGAGCGCTTGGCTAAGCGGTCAAGGTGTCTGCTCATCTTACGTCGTTTGTATAAAGCACAAAATTACCTAAATTGCTGCTCTACGTATTCAAGTCAAGGTCTGCGCTCATAATATATACATAACTCTCGTGGCACAACCTATAACTACTACAACTTTACCTACTTATCTTGGTATGTGTGTGTAAAGTATCGTAATATACCTTTAGCATTGCTTAGATGTGCACGTAAAGGTATGTAAAGGTACGTAAAGGTATGTAAAGGTAGGTAAAGTTGTTCTAATAAAGGCGTATGCCGTGAAAGCTTAAAACATAATACGTTCGTATCGCTATTTGTAAGGTCAAGATCGATATGTAATGCACTACACAGCGTAGTGCGCCTGTGTGCGTGTGGTACATGCGTTGATAAGATGAGTGCGATTGATCAGGGATCAGGGACAAACTGCTGTGACAGTATGTGTTAAAATAAATCCAATAATAAAATCGATAGTGAACAGGGGGATAGCGAACCTTTGGCTCTTTGTTAACCTACATATAATAGCAATACGTTAAAGTTAAGTAACAATAATATGTATTAACTTGCCGGACGACACATTATAAACCCAAACGGGTTTTCGTGTCGAACAGCCATAAAAATCGTCGAAATCGTGGATTCGAGTCCCACTTGCCATATTTTTCTTATCATGTTATTTATTTATCAGTAACCTTTGTTTTCTGTTTTTTTTTTTAATTTCTGTTATATCACGCTCCTTGGGAATAAAAGTCCGATATGAGAAGATAAAATCCTGTAGATCATGTTATACCTTTATGCAAAATTTCATCAAAATCATTTTAGTATTACACGCATTGAATGTTTGTGGCCATTGCATTTTCAAAACAGAATAGGTACCAGCTACCAACGTAATATCGTAATCAGTTTATTCAAAAGTAAGTGAAAGTAAAACTAGGACCACATGTTTGCAACCACTGACGAACTAGGTAATGAACAAAATTTCTTCACGTGTCACTAGGTACTAAATAACAGTACAAGTTTATTAATACTCACTGCATTAGTAAGTTTAAGTAAGTTTTTTCATTTTATGTCGTTGTAAATCATGTGCCACTTCGTGGTTCGGTCAGTTAATACCTACCTATGTATTACTGCCTAATTACTAATCAATGGTAAAGCTGTATACTTTTCGCAATCTTTTATTAGTAACTTACCTTTGGAGCTTTATTCCACGCATTTCTGATGATAAAAAATTATAATTTTCTGAAAAATACTGCGCAACCATAAAAATATCCTGATTATCTTTTTTCAATGCCCGCTTCCATTTGTTTTTTTTACAGCACTACACACCGTGACTATACATAAAAATATAATAATATAAAAGCTAAATATTCAATACGTTAGTTTATAAATCAAAGCAAATAGTTTATTTGTGATTCACAGGTTACAAAAAGGTCTTATTTAAACACAAATAAAGTTCAATCTGTGATCAGCCTCATGGGCATACAAATGTCAAATATAAATAGTTCATTAATTACATTATTCATAATAATAGATTAGATTAAATTATTCATCATAAATAATATTGATTTTATTATAGGATAGGGTGACAAACGAGCACACAGTCTTTTCTTTATAGGAGAGGAGGCAAACGAACATGCGGCTCACCTGATGGTAAGTGACTACCGCCGCCCATGAATAACTGCAACACCAGGGAGGGAATTACAGATGCGTTGCCAACATAAATAATGAAGTGTTAAGATCCATCCAACACTTGGGTAATTTGTTGTAAACATCCGGCCCCATACAGCAGACACTGTTGCGTATTAGTGCTGTTTTTCCTTTAGTATGTAAACTCTACTAATGTAAACTCTACTATTGTCGCGTCTGTTTCTCGGGGCAAGGTCTGCCAGGCACTTAAAACGGTTCTGGTTCGACTTTACAAAGACTGCTATTTCTAATATATATATACAAGATAGAGTAAATATTTTATATTGTTTAAAATATGGCTTACAGCTATCGGTACTCTTCAGCTTAAACATGGAGCGTATACACCTTTTTTGGGCCGCGAATACCTTTCCTTTTTCGCAAGAGTTACCCCAAAATATTAAACCATATCGTAGGTATGTTTCTACCGTACTATAATACGCAGTAAGGAGTCCATCCGTACAAATTATAGAAGATAATATGCCTAGAACATATGCAGATTTACTTATATTTTTACAAAGAGTCCTAATGTGCGATTTCCAATTCAATTTGTCATAAATTTCCAGCGCCAAAAATCTCGTGCTTTCGACTTTGGTAATCTTATTATATTGTAGTATAAGTTTACTATTATTGTGTTTGCGTTGACTGAAATGTATAACCTTTGTTTTGCTTAAATTTATTATTAACTGATTGTGATCTACCCATTTTATAATTTTTTTGTAGGGAATTGTTTATGTCATATTCGTATGTATTAACCTTTTTACAAGGTATTGTTATGGTGCTGTCATCTGCAAAAAGCGTCAAATTTTGTTCTGTGTATTTAGGTAGGTCATTAATATACAATATAAATAATAACGGTCCCTTTTGCCATATTTATTGTTTTACGCTGCCTAAATCCTTTCTGTTCCTCACACAATATGTTATGTTTTTCTACATATTTATATAATTTATCATATTTTTCAATTATTTTTGAAATTAAGGGGATGAGTGAAATTGGTCTATAAATTTCAATTAACTCTCTATTTTTTTCTTAAATAATGGTTTTATTATAGAGGTTTTTAAGGCATCTGGATATTTTTTTTTATAGGATAGGATGACAAACGAGAACACAGTCCACCTGATGGTAAGTGGTTGCTGTGGCCCATAGACATTTACATTTATCCTCGTTTGTGAATCAAAATGCAGATGCGTTGTCACCCATGAGGACTAAGATGGAATGCCTCTTTTCCAGTAAAAAGGGTCTCCGGTTCTCAAACACTCACCATACGAAACACAGCAGCATTAAGCTGCTATTTTACGCTGGTATTCTGTGAGAGTGTGGTCCTTCCCCGGTCGAGCCGACCCATTCGTGCTACAACTATACTACTAATATAGCTGCAGCATGGCTCTGCCACGTGTAATGCCAGCACAAATGCAAAGATTTATTATATAAGTCAGGTGATCACATATCTTATTAGCCACATATTTAATTACCTTTGTACAATTGTCATCATAACCGACACTGCATGTGTTTTTCAGAGACATTATTATTCCCTTTATCTCATATGCTGTACTAGGCTCTAAGAACATAGAGTTAGGTATAGTATTTATATTATAGTCTGTCAAGAGAGTCATTAAAATAATATTTTTGGAACTACTGCTTTTGCTTGCACCATAACTTCATGGCTTGCACTGGCAACAATAAATTATTGTCAAACTGGATAACTCAGCTGTCATATCGTAGTTTTGTAGTATGGAGTGTAGAGAGAAGGAGGACCATCTCTATACTATGAAAAGTGTCCCTAAAACGTGTCCAATAAGGGTAGCGCTGCAGAAGCATAGGATAAATTAAAAAAAAGCGCCAAAAGTAATTAGAGTAAGATGGAGAAATAAATAAGGACCGACCAATCCGCTTGGTTTTGTACTACGTAAATAGTTGAGATTTTGTATATTGGCGTCTAACTAACTACTCTAGTCATGAAATTTTTGAAATATTTGAATTAAGCTGACTTCATTCCGTTCATAACAGCTATCTTCATATCGTAGTTTTTCAGACGCCAGCGCTATTGTGGTAGGTTTTGAAACCTCTATTTTCAGTAAATAGTAGGACACTTTTTCAACTTTCGCCCCTTATAAGATGGTTCTCCTTGTACTCTACACTCCATACTTTGTAGTTGATGTGCTCTAAGATTTTTTCTTATATTTCGAGTTTTTCTTATCGTATGACCGTTTAATCTTTAGAGATCAAAAATGAAACGCAGTGCTTATAAGAGCAGTACCAAACAAGTAATATTTAAAGTGTTTAGAGTGTATGGGCGAAAATTCGGCCATACACTCTTGGAGAAAGCGGGAAAGTTTCTTTCTGATTTAGACGATGTTTACGGTCGAACAGCAAAGATAACTGGTACGTACATGTATTTTAATGTTAAACACCATAAAAAAAAACTGTAATTTCATATCTACCATTTGTTTTTAAGCATAATTTATCCGTTTTATTATATTGTTTGCAAATAGTTGAGGTTATGAAATTTGTTTAAGAATTATACTACACAGTCAATAGTTTTGATCCTTTTGTATTATTTGTTTAGATATGAATAAGGTATCTATTATTTACATGCCTATATTGGTTTCAGGTGTATCTGAAAGCACAAATCGGCGCATAGTGGACGACGATGAATATTTTGCCTGTGGAGGATCTCTGTATAATGATATAGACAAACTTGTCATCTCAGTAAATGATGATAGTTCCAGTGAATCTGAAGAGTCAGAAATGGACCAATTTAATTACGCAGGAGCTTCAGGCAACATTTCAGGAGTTGAATACCTCGACTCAGATTAATAATCAAAATATAATAACTATGTATCAACATTTTTTTTGTTTTATTTTCGCACTTTGGATATCTGCAGTCTGTCAAGGCTGGTTATTTATGGAATACAATTTGGACTGTTTCCGATATTAAATATATATATAAAGGAAAGTCTCCAAATACACCTATTGTTGTAGAAACAACATCATCCCTTCAGAAAATGGATTTGCTCAAAAAATGCAAGATCTTTAATAATATGAACAAATTTAAGCTCCGTGCGAAACATCTTGGTATGATTACCTCTGAGGAGACCCTAATATTTGTATCTGAGCAATTAACTGCTAAATCTGCCAGACTCTATTTTATTGCCAGGGATTTAATTAAATCTACGGATTATAAATATTGCTGGACCAATTATGGCAATGTCTACGTTAGAAAGGATGGTGAATCCGCCATTATTACATTGACTTCTGAACCCCAAATTCATAAACTGTTCAATGTAAAATGACTAGATTTGGTGTTTATGTTGTCATATTGTTTGTATTCTTGGTTTCTGTTATGGTTTTTTATTTTATGGTTTTTTATTTTATTACGCTGTACGCTGCGTTGGGAGGCAAACGCGCGTTTTTGGTTAGGCGTTATTACGATTTCAATTTTAATTAATGTTCTTACACTTACACTCACTCTCATACTACACACACAACACACAAAATCAATTATACATTTCCCAAGTTTACCATGGCGTAGTGATAATGGCAAAATATTAATAATTACTAAATTTTATTAAATATTTAGCACAATGAACTTCCATCTTTATTACGGCCTACAGCTGCCCCTGCAAAAGCCGAATCTTCCGGGGCCCATGAGCAGAAGATTCCACGAGCAGCCGCAGGTCGAGCCCAATGACCATATGGAAGAATTTCCTATAATACTAAGCTATATGGGAGAAGGCTAGGGAAATATAGTACCTGTTACCTGTTTCCGACTCTTAGATCGCCGCAAGGCTCGGTCAGGGCGTAAGTGGGTGTGAGGTGTATGGCAAGTAGTGTTTAGTGGTGTGTAAATGTCTGAGACCTGGCCCTGCTTAGGCGACCAGCAGCGGCCGAGTTCCAGGCTGCCCCACAATGTTGCATCGCTCCAGCAGGCTCCACCGCTGGACCATTTCTTTCATCATTGTCACTATTTCAGTCTATTAGCTTCATTGTACATTTAACTAACTTAACTCACCTAATTCCACATTCATCGTAGAATCGAACACGTGATATCCGACACAGTATGGACAGTAGTTCAAAATTCGACATTCAATGTCCCGGATTCACTTATCACAAAATTATAAATAGGGAACTAACGCGATCTCTTAATGAGTCATACGGTTCAGCGTTGAATACAACTAAGTTCCTTCATTCGACACCAAAACACCACGTCGCGTAAAGAATTCAAAATACGCCTCGTTGACACGTAAACTAACAAACCAACCAACACACAAAAAAGGGCACTTAACGCGACGGCACAATTATATTGATTTCCAGATAATCCAACCGGGAGACGCTCTCGACCAAGGAATGCGCGGTTCGAATCCTAGACCGTATATCTACTCGACACGCGCGTGCACAATTCCGCATCACTCGAACAAGTTAAATATTGCAAAATTCACATATCCACGTAGCGAAGTAACACGCACTAAAAGAAACTATCTGGACTCTACACGGTCGCGTGAACTTCGGCCGCGATAATCGAGATACGCGGGTTCACCGAATCGCGGCCAGCGAACAACTCATCTCTTCGCCCACGCGTCGAGCACTGCAAGCCGCACACGGCCGCCCCACCTGGCGGCGTTTTTTTCACCTACATACCATCGGGTGACGCGCCAGCTCGAACGCAATTGGATGGCGTTCAAAAATGACCAAATTTGGGCATAAACATTGTTATTCTCAAATATTCAATTTTAAACTACCCCCTCGATCATTTCAATCTTTCTATTTATATTAAATTAAATGGTTACTTCTTTGCAAACACTAAATGATATAGAATGTGCTAAAATTGCTGACTCCATACAATGCAATATCCAGGACTTAGGTAAACGCATTAAAATTAATAAATCAGATCTTACTATCTTTACGCAAAATATAAGAAGCGTGAATTGTAATTTTGATGATCTTTTGGTAATTATTGCGCAACTAGAATTTGATCCTGATGTATTGGTCCTAACAGAGTGTCATCTAGATAAAAGCAAAGCTATACCTATTCTTCCAAACTATATTCATCTTGCAACAACACATCATATTAATCAGAATAATGGTGTAGTGATATATACAAAATCCTTATTAAAAGCTAACATTACAGAAGTTGTATTTAAAGAGGCGTCATGCTCACAAGTAAATATTTTTATCCATGTTGTACTTGGTATATATCGATCTCCATCCAATAGTAATGCGTCAAATTTTATAGATTCTCTAAATAACCATTTGTGAACTATAAATTTTGCTAATGTTACTATCACAGGTGACATAAATATAAATATAATTCCTAAACCTAATGAAAAATTATATGAATGCAATAACAGAATAAATTATTTGTACATGTTGTCTACACACGGTTTATTAAATGGACATAATTTTCCTACTCGTGAAAATAGTTGCCTAGATCATATAATTATAAAATTAAATGGATCTAAAATGTCAGCATTTATAGCAATTATTAACACAACAATTACTGATCATCTAAGTCTATTACTAATCCTATCAAAAAGTAAACATAAATCTATACAGACTAAAACTAAATTAATAATAGATTACGAGAAAGCCTAAAATGTTTTGCTTGAATGAAACTTAGAGAGTCTACTCTTGTGTGAAGACCTTAACTTACTTATTGAACAGCTTACTCAAAAGTTAAAAGAATCAGTGGATGAGGCTAAAATTACTAAGTATCTTCCAAAAACTCAGCGAATTATAAAGCCTTGGATCCGTACAGGTATTTTGCGATATATAAGGAACAGAAACCAAATGCAGCTTAAACTAAGATCTGACCCAGATAATAATATTCTAAAAATAACATTTACAAGATATCGTAATCATTGCAACAATTTGATGAAAAAACTAAAGAGAAAATACGAACGGGAAAAACTTACTAATGCTTCTAAACATTCAAAAAATCTTTGGAAAACTATAAATACTATTACTCAATACAAACCCTCTAAGACACATAGCAATGAACTCCTTACCATAAAATCATCCCCTAGTGAATCAATTAATTTTGTTGGTGAATTTTTTACTAACATTGGAAAAAAATTAGCTAATGAGATCAATACACCTGAAAATCCTATACAAAATACAAGTCCTCATTTGACATCATTCGTTCTTTTTGACACTGATCCACAAGAAGTTGTCCTTACTATTGATAGTCTCAAAACTGATAGTGCTGCTGGTTGGGACAATATTCCTACTAAATTTCTGAAATGGTGTAAGTTTCTCATCGCCCCTGTAATTAGTCACTTGGCTAATCTTTGTTTTCGTACAGGATTATTCCCGCTCTCACTTAAAAAATCTTTAATTACTCCGGTTTATAAAAGTGGTAAGAGAGACGACGGTCAACAACTATAGGCCTATCTCAGTCCTTACATCTATTTCAAAAATTTTAGAAAAAATAATAAATATTCGAATAATTAACTATTAAACTAAATATAACAAATTATCAAAAAATCAATTTGGATTTATACAAAAAAATTCTACTGAAGACGCGGTTTTAGCACTTTAATAATTGAAAATGTTGATCACGGAAAAAATGTATTACAGTTTTTCTTGATTTAAAAAAGGCATTTGACAACGTCTCTTTTCCCACTCTAGTTGCTAAACTAGAACATATCGGCATTCGAGAAAAAGCACTTGAATTGATGAGGGACTATTTACAGGGACGTACCCAGAGGGTGAAAATTGGAGACTACCAAAGCCCAGACTTCGACATTACTTACGGCGTACCACAGGGGAGTCTCTTGGGCCCTACTCTATTCTTGATATATATTAATCAGCTCACAGAGTTAAATATTGAGGGTGGCCAAGTCTTTTCGTATGCTGATGACATTGTTATTGTGTTTACTGATAGTACTTGGAAAGGTGTATTTGAGAAGGCTGAAAAAGGTCTTTGTAAGGTGTCTAGATGGCTTAGACATAATCTAATAACACTAAATGTTAATAAAACCAACTATATGTGTTTCAGTATAGATAAACGAACACAGCCCCCTAGTGAAACTTCACTAATAATTCATCAATGTGATGATACGGATTGTTTTAATTGTAATTGTGAAAAACTTGAGCGAGTACATAACACAATATACCTTGGAATAATTTTTGACCAACATCTTTCGTGGATTAATCAAATAGAATACGTAAACGCCAGAATTCGTAAGCTTACATGGATATTTAAAAAACTGCGTTATATTACAACGACTAAATTGATAAATCAAATTTACACATCTTTAGTTAGTTCTCAGTTAGTTCTAGGATATTGCATTACGGTATGGGGAGGAGCGGCAAATACTAACTTACTGAACATAGAAAGAGGACAATGATGACTTCTTAAAGTTATGTATTTTAAGCCTATTAGATTTAATACCGAACAACTGTATAATATTAGTGATGTTCTTACGGTTAGGCAACTATATATCTTACAGTCAATTTTATAAACACATACTAACTCGCCATATGATCCAAAAAACATGTACACGGGGTAATCATAACGTCATTAAACAAATTTATGTAAAATCTAAATTTGCTGAGAGACAGTACTGTGCCCAATCAAGATAAAAAATTAAACTTTCACCGGCTTAATTATTGCGAATGTAAAAAAATACTTACCGATCATCTTAAAAAATTATCTTATTATTTTATACCACAGAAAACATTCTACGTCACGGAATTAAATAATATATTTGTTTATCAGAATAGAATAGAATAAAATAACATAAAATAATATTAACAAAAATACTTACACTTTTAAGCACCTACAATCACACGTACACACATACACTCACACGCGCACACTCACACACACACACACACACACACACAAACACACCTACTCTAAATCATAGGTAATCTTGCTCGGCTTATCTCAATATTTAATGTTATTAGGAAGAGCGGTGCCTCTTGACACAGGTATTCTTTTATACTTACTAGGAGGCTCCAATTACTTTAATTTTTAATTTTATTTTAATTTTTAATATAATATATATATATAATTTTATACAGTAAAATCAAAAGTCCATTAATATTTGGATTGTCTGGGCCTTAGCATAAACTTAGCTTAATCTTAGTACAACTATAAATTCAGAATCAAAAGTTTATGCTTAGTTACTCAGCTAAGTTTTTCGTAAGCTAAGTCTGAGCAAAGTCAAAGTACGATCTATAGATCTCAGCCTAAGTCTAGTCCAATCCAATCCCCAGAAGACACAGGTTTGCAAACCCCTGAAGCCCTTTGTCGTACCTCCTCAGTTTCAGGGCATTACCCTTGTTGCCTCAGTCAGTATCGGAATCCTCAGCCTCGACATGATGAATGATGTGCACTTTTGTGGTTACTTGGAAGAGAAGGCCAAAAAAAGCCTCTAAATAGCTTGGCCTGTTCATCAGAGTGGGACAGTATTTCATGCAGACACACCGCTAGCAACTTTACAAGGCGCAGGTTTGACATCACATTGAATACTGTTTCCATCTCTAGCCTAGGTCTGGCCTGGCTCGATTCGTCGACTAGCGAGTTCTTTCCGATCCCTTTATTGTTGAGAGATGTTGCATCCCTTTTCATTTTCTATCACATTTACCACGAGGAGTGCTCTGAGGAATTGTCCGAATTAATTCTAGCCGTCAAATTTCACCAACGCACATCGCGACATAACTTACGTTACCATCCACATTATTTGGATGCTTGGCGGTCCACTACTATGCGATTTATTAGGAGCTTATTTCCTCGCACAACTAATTTGTGGAATCGTTTACCACTGGCCTTTTTTCTGGACGGATATGACTTAGGTACCTTCAAGAAACGAGCTTACTCCCTTTTCAAAGGCCGGCAATGCACCTGCAATTCCTCTGGCGCTGCAGTTGTTCATGGGCGGTAGTCGACACTGTCAGGTGAGCCGCATGCTCTTTTGCCCTTCTTGTATAAAAAAAATCAGACGTGATAATAATGTTCTTATTATTTTTGAATTAGAGAGGAGTATGGGTTCAACATTTTTACAAAATATATTTGTACAAGACGCCGGCTGTATTACCGTATATACAGTTTATTTAACTAACGACATGATGGATATATTTATAATATTCCGAAAATAGATTAAAACAAAAAAGAAGCATAATCATAATCATTATCATCATCATCATTACAAACCTTCACAAGTCCTCTGCTGAACATAGGCCTCCCCCAAGGAATGCCACAAAGCACGGTGCCGAACCACCTGCATCCATTGACTTCCTTACCAGGTCGTCACTCCATCTAGTGGGGGGACGCCCTACACTTCGCCTACCGGTACGAGGCTGCCACTCGAGAACCTTTCATCCGCATCGTTTGTCGGTTTTTCGAGTTATATGGCCGGCCCATTACCACTTCAGCTTACAAATCCGTTGGGCTATGTCGGTCACTCTCGTTCTACTGCGGATATCCTCATTTCTAAGTTTATCACGCAAAGAAACCCCGAGCATAGCCCTCTCCATAGCTCGCTAAGCGACCTTGAGCTTCCTCATACGGCCAGCAGTAAAGGACCACGTCTCAGATCCATAAATCATCACTGGCAACACGCACTGGTTGTACAGTCTCCTTTCAAGTTTTGAGGTATACCTGACAAGAAGATGTGTCTTAATTTCCCGAACGCTACCCAGCCGAGTTGAATCCGTCGATTGACCTTTCGGTTGAAGTTGGAGTTACCTAGTCGGACTCTCTGTACCAGGTAAACATACTCGTCAACTACTTCGAGCTTAGTGCTCCCAACAACTACCGGAATAGGTGTGGCATTGACGTTACACATGATCATTGTTTTGTCCATGTTCATGTTAAGACCTATCGGTTGTGAGACACTATTGAGGTCATTGAGCATAGTGCTTAGGTCCTTCAGTGTTGTAGGTCCTCAAAAACATAATATATTAAATAAAAATGAAAGTAATTAGGTTACTAATCTAAAAATGATTGCATAGTATTTTACTGGACAATTTTTCATGAAAATCAAAAATAAAATATGTTTTGTTTTTATAGTAAGCTCTGAAAGTAAGCAGTTATTGTAGAATGTTACGAGTACTACATGTTTTCCCGTCTGGAGTAACACCCAGAAATTAATTTGTGGTCTATTTGTAATGCCTTTCTAATTCTCGGGATGCTTTAAAGCATAAGCTCGTTGTTTTTCCTATGTTTTATAGATGGCACATTGCTTAAATCGTAGCAATACAGTATTTTCATAACAAGGGGGCACTGTGGGTATTTTAACTTTTGGCTAGGTTTGGCCCCAACCTTCGATTGTAATAAAATAACTGTCATTGTTATAGAAATATTTTGATTTTTTTGATAGGCTGTAATGGAATGGATATGTGGATTAATTTAAACGATAAAAAGTACAGAATTTCTTTACTATGCTGGCCACCTATTGCTATAGCGTCTGACGAAGCATCGCAGCTCGTACCGTATGAATGATTACTCAACATGCGTTTGCAATTGGCAAGACCAACAATTTTCGTTATGTATTTATTACAAAAGTGGAGAAAATTCTTAGAAAATGGTGTTTTTTTGTCCTATCTTAAGAAATGAAGACTAAAGTGCGCTTTCTTGTGCGATGTTATCGTCAAAATTTTGCCCGACGGACAAAGCTCGGTGACGTCGTCACTCGTGTCTCAACGAGCACTTTATGGAAACTTACTATTTCGCTCGTAATTTTGAGCGGGTCTCTCACCACTGTGATTATTATTTTTGACTAAAAATGTCATTATAAGTATTGTGTCGTCCCCGAGTGTTACAATACGACCAAAACCACCAAATAAGTTGTTTTTTATGGTAGTGAGCTAATGGCTATGGCTAGTGGGCTGCATTATTGTAACATAATTAAAATTGCAATAAAAATGTTGTATAGCATAGGCAAGATTACCGAGCTTGAGACCCGTATTTAAAGAATGTGTGTGAAATATTTCTAGCTATGCTTAGAACCTGAGTAACTATTTTGAATAACATGTCCCGAAATATAAAAATGTCATTTACACAATAACAAATCTACCCAGAATTGTTTCCGCTCGGAAATTGAACTCGGAGTCACTGATTGTGAGATACACCACACAGGTCGTCATAAAATAAATTCATTTTTGTTTTTAAGTTGAAAATGACATGGTATATCTATGTGAAGTTTAAACGAGTACGAGACTGCTGAAACTGAAGAGTGTGTAGGGTAGTGTGGTGAAGTAGTGCCTCACAAGTTTGCTTTGGACAAAACAGCTAAACGAAAACCTGTACAGTCCGTTATAGAAAATCGTAAAAAGTAGAAATTATTAAGAAAATTTCGTGTGAAAATGTAACGGGAGAAGTTCCGTCTATTTCACTCAAATTTACGTACGTTCTCATAGTAATAACTACAAAAGATAGTGTGATGTACATAAAATAAGCAAATTTTTACCTATTGTCAAGCTCATTAAGGCTATCTATCATTATTATTCATTGAGATAACATATTTCTGATAGGTTTTGCTTGCTCGTTTCCTTCTTTTCCAGCCTCAACCACTTTATTTTTTCCGTTCCACACACTCCGCCGTTTGTTTCCACTATTGGCAAAATTAAATATGCGTTCTTTCATACATTCAGAAGCACGGCGGGATGTTCCGCCTAGGCAAGAACAGTATTAAGCTAGATATATCCAGGACCAGTGGATGTAATTCTTGATATAACTTCCCGATTTATTATTGTCTTTAGGCACCGTTTCGAGCTTAAAATAAATATTGTCATCCATCAAAAATATTAATATAATATTTTGTTTACTAAAGGACTAAGACTTATCGATAACACTATAATCGTGCATTATTCTCTTATGCACGGCAAACATCAAACAGAACGCCGAGCGACGTGTCTTCTCTCTGGAAAGCCTTTCGGCGAACTCACAGAACTCTCAACCGAAAGGGTGGATTAATTTTAATTACGCAGTGTCTAAAAGTACTTTTAAAATATTTATAGAAAAGGAATAAAGCTATTTTATTTTCAATTTCTTAATTATATAGGTTAGGTGTAAAAAGATATTCTTCTAACATATTATTCTATTATTATATTAAATTATAAGTAACATAAATTGGTGAAACTAATGGTATTATCCATTGCATTTTGTTAAAAAAAATCACATGCTTTGAATTTTTCATTTCTAAAACCTAAATCAAAATATATTTTGTTAACTGTCTATTTTTCTTGGAGTCTTCCGAATTGATAATATTTTTTGAGTGTGAAATTTGTCAGTGATTTCAGATATTTTAAGCTTCGAAATTGAGGCTAAAAGAGATATTAAGAAAACATTTGATTGGTTATCTCAATAGCTACTAACTATTTAGACAGCAAAATTTCCTAAAGTTATGTGTAATTAACATCTGTGTGAGATAAGCGGTTGATGTTGTTTGAATAGTAAGGTTTTGAGCCAAATAGCGCTTGAAACGTGTTACCCGCATTAAATATGTCAACAGGAACAGAAATCTACTCCTGATATTTCAATAGCATCGTCAGACATATCGTTGTACTTTGGAATTTAACGAATGAGTTACTGGACAGTAACCACCTACAAAAAACAAACTGACTGGAATCTCAAACTTAAAGCAGCTTGATTTGGATGTCGATTCGAGACGATTTTTGACTTAAATCGGATTTTAGGTATCGTTATATATCGATAACATGACGATAAAACAGGAGCAAGAATCCACTGGTGGTCGTTTTCCCGTCAAATCTCCGTGTGAAAAAATTTCTTTATATGAAGTCTTAATAACTCTATAGGCAACACTGAATTAGTGAAATGTCAAACAGAAATAGACATTAGACAATATGGCGGCTGCAGTGTGTGAATTTGAGCCGTGGTTAAGTGCAAAGTTAAAATCTTTAAAAACAGATGAAGGAGTTTTTGGGCACTACATATCCAGTATATTAGAAAGCGAGGAATCAATTGATGAAAAGAAAGATGCTCTAGAAGGCATACTTTCTGAAATTTTGGTAAGTCAAAATATCGGTTAAACACGCAGACATGTCTAAATTTTCCTTAATTTCCTCAAAAATTTGACAGGAAAGTGATATATCAGTACATGTTAATGAAATAATAGAGAAATGGGAGTCGTGTAAACCTCAAGAAGAAACGCTGAAACCAGTGGCGGATGTAGATGTTCAGTTGGCTAAGTTGCTAGAATCTCAGTCTCTTGCAACGACTACGCGGCGAGAATATACTGATGAGGAGAAAAAAATACGTGAAGCAATTCTATCTCAATACAGTCAACTCTCCGATAATGAGGTGTGTACCAAATGTTAATATTAATCTTACTCAATTAATTAATAACAAAATAATTTATGTACAAATTATTTATTTCAGGAAGATCTGGAACATGAGGAAGTAACAGATAGCACTGATTTAGTTAAAAATACAAATGCCCTAGATGTGGCTGCAGCTGCAAGAGAAAGAAGAGAACAAGCGAGGCTTGAAGCACAGCGTAAAAAAGAAAAAGATAGAGAAGACAGGTATATACAAGAATTAAATTATTTTTATTGAGGCAGTTATAATTATTATTATTATTACTATGTTCAACATTTATTTTTAGAGAAAAGCAGAAACAACTGAAAGAAGAAAAGAAAGAAAAACGTAAAACACAAAAAGGTGAAAGGAAGAGGTAGCAATCTAAATATGCCATGTGAAGAGCTGTTTGTCACTGCATGAAATGAAATACTATTAAAGTATCCTAGATGACTTGTTTTGTGCTGTTAAAAAAGAAAATGTTTGAAAATTTGTTTTGTTAATAGCTCATTTAGTGATAAGCACATGTGTATATTATATCCAGAAAGGCAATATATAAAAGTTGTGACTGGACTTTATTCATAGCATGAGTCTTGGATATTAGTTTATTGTATATAGAAAACAAAAAAAAAAGATTAGTGAAAGTCCTAGGATATTTTAAGAGTATATAGGTGTTTATTGAAATTTTTATTTAATTTATCTATGTACAAATACAAGTCATGTTTAAATATTGTTTGTAACAAATTTCATTATTTTCATTCATATTTTCTTACATTTCTCTTTCAAAAAGAGCAACTTTATGTTAATTTAAAATAACAAGAAATGTTATTCTCTGAAACTGGTAATAATGATTACTAGTTTAGAAACTACCTAGTTTAATTGTACAGTTTCTATTTTTACAACCTCAATGAAAATACATAATTAAGGAAGATTGAACAAAATGGTTAATTTTACATTTAAAACTGAAGAAAATGCTATGTAATTGCAATAAATCTAGGAATGTGTTGAAGTAGAAACAATATATGTATTAGATGATGTTGCTGCTGTAAAAATACCATCATTTATCATTATCATTTTATTGATTAAAATACATATTTATCTTTATACATTACATATGTATTGTACAGTATTTTTATTACTTAAGTTACATATAAATAGTGTCTACATAATTTAATTACAGTTATGCTTTTAGTTAATACTGTGCATTTTTTGTTTATTTTGTATGTAATATTTGAAATAAAAGATATTAAACGTCTGAATGCTTATAAATTTATTGAGCAGCTGAAACTCCTTTTTTTTAGTTGAAACTTCTCACAAATTTATAAAAAAAACAAAATTATAAACTTTATTATTGTGACTACAAGCTATAATTTTTCTTCACTGCCATAAGTTTTATTAAACTCTGTGACAATGAAATTATGAGCTCCACCGGCATAGATTTGTGTTATAATTTCATCTTTATTACATTTAATGGGGACAATAGTTGGAAAAGAAATTACTGGTTCAAGTGAAATTCCTGTATTAGCATGTTCATTCCAGCCCCAAGCCCATAAAGTGTTGTCTTCACTTAAACATATTGTATGCTCTGAACCTAAGGCAACATCTTTTACTTTTCTATTGTCTGAAAAAAAAAAGAAAAATGATATCAATGCCATTATGTTGTTAACCATGCTACAGTAACTGGATTCTAAGCAATTTAAATATGTGGAAAAGCATACGATTAGAAAACACTAAGATGGTTTGTTCTAATGAAATTTAATTCCATTTGTAAATATTATACCTACTGACATAAATATATTTTTCAGGGATATAAATAACATTTTAAGCTTAAATAATTACTGTTGACATACCTGGAAGCTCAATGTGAAATATTTTTCCTACAAAGGATTCATTAGTACCAAGCTGAGAGTAATTATTACGACCCCAAGTGAGTATGGTACCATCTTCCAGCCACATAAGAATATTTGTCCATCCACTTAATAATTTTTTTACCTTTTGTTTAATGTCTAAATCAATATTTTGAGGTTCATATATATTACGGACCCATATATTTTGCTTTAAACTACTATTTTGTTGTAGCAACTGACCATGTTTATTTTCACCCCAAACATATAGAACATTTTTGTCAGATGACCAAGCTACTGTATGATTTTGTCCACATGCAATATGAGATATCTTATCAATGTTCACAACTTTTTGGAATCTATCAGAAAATAATGTTTCTTTTCCTAAACCAAGTTGGCCTTGTTTTCCACATCCTGTAACCCATACTTCACCTTTAGAGTTTATAATCGCAGTATGCCTTAATCCCATTGAAACAGCACAAGCATTTACTTGTAATCTAACAGGCTTTTTTACTTCAGTAAAATGTGATCTTGGCAGTCCTAATTGACCATTATTATTTGAGCCCCAAACAAATAAAAAATTATCATCTGTTACTGCACAACTAAAATCCCAGCCAGTAGATATATTTGTGAATGTGATGCCACTTAGGCACCATACTCTTTCAAATGTTTCCAGTGATTTCTGACTTATTTTTTCTATGGCTAGCTGACGGTTTAAATTCCATCCACAAGAATAAAGTTTACCTTCATCATTAAGAAGAAGTGTGTGACCACCACCACATGAAATTTGTTTGATTTTATTGCAAAATTGTGGAAGAATAACTTTAGTAGGTTCCTGTACTTGTTCAGTAATAATTCCAAGACCAAGTTGACCATGTGAATTGGCACCCTGTAATTAATTTTTAAACATTATAAAGAAAAAAGAAATACAGTTGAATTGTAAATATTTGGCGAAAAGAGTTTATAGTAAAATAAGAATGTTGTTTACCCATGCCCATAAATTCATTTTTAGGAAAATGAAATAGAGGTAATTATGTTATTTTATTTCCATTTTAAGCTTCTATGTGCAAGCCGTAAGTAACATTTTTTAACTTTTTTAGTATCTTTAGACCAAACACATTTGGTTGCGGGTTTGTAACTATTTTTTAAAATGTGAGTGTACATATGTCGCGAAAATGAAAAATGAAGTTTTCAGTAAGTACCTAATAAATGTCTATTGTCATTTATTTTGTCACCTGTGATTGTTAAATTGTCATTTGTCAAATCTATTCTTCTTCTTAATAACTGGCTTTACGACTCTGGGATCTAGCCCTTCTGAGCCTGAAGTTACAATATATTATAATATCCTTCATAGTATACTGCTTCACAATATGTTGATGCGTCACATTGTGCAGCCCTTGGGAGATTTTGACGGCAACTTGAGCCAGCAGACAGCTAACGGTTGGCGATGGATCTCAAGGCGCCTAAGCAGACAGACACCTTATTTTGAGAATCATATCACCATCAGAGCACTTTTTTCACAGTTTCCACTAATAGTTCACATGCGCAGACACTTAATACACAAAATCGCACCACTTTTACATATCAAAGTCTACTTCAAACCATTATTTAAACAATAATACAGGAGCAGCAAACCGCCGCCGGGCAAATTCCCGTTAAAACTCCTTGTCAAATCTAAGGCTGGCCACCACCACCGCCTACATACGGAATTCCGTTTCGGAATTCCATATAAAATCAAAGACCCGTTACACACGTACACAGTTTTCCATTCGAAATTTTGTGGACAAAATGGGATTCTGAATGTATGGAGCCGATCCGTTCGGAATTCTCGAACGGTACCCTGAAACGGAATTCGGTATGTATGTTTCGGGCCTTATACGTCCATGGATCATGGATGAATATTTTTTGTTCGATATATCGTATTTTTGTCGTTAACTTTTATTTCGATACATCGGTATATCGATATAAAATATCAAGTACCGAAAATATATCAAATACGATATATTTAAGCAACACCGTTGTTGTCAGTTGTCACTGGTCGTCACTGACTATAACCGCTAAAATTCAGATAATCAATAAAAATGTTGGACTAACAGTCGCCATTTTACCAGTCTTTTCAGAAATAGCGTTAATGTATTTGGTACCTACTGCATTTTTAGTTTCATCAGAGAGAGTGGCATCAGTTGTTAATCTTAGCAGAAGCCGACTTTAGAAGCAGATCAAACTTAGAATTTTTCTTTTATTTCTTTCGGTTAAGTATTGGTTTGCATAAGTACATTTTGCAATTGTATACACTTTAACGTTCGATTAAAAGTATTATATTTTTTTTCACTGTTATTAATAATAATTTATGATTTTACATTACTGTCACTTGATTACTAGAAATGACGTTTCTAGTTTGGTGTTAATATGAATAGTTATACTAACATGAACTAGACTAGTAAAACAAACAATAGAAATTCATAAAGCATGCAAATATTTTTTAAAAATTCACCGATATGTCGATATTTTTTTCGATATATCAAAAGCGATATTAAATATTTATATTTTAAAATGCTTTCCTAAAACATCTATACGATATATTTCGGTACTTTTTGTCATTTCCTGTATCCCTGATAAGATCGGAACTTCTGTTAGCTTGTGTTGTGTTTGTGTACTTCTTATTAAGCCCGCCTCTCACTATGGAATATAATATAATATACAATATGTAACAAAAACCCTGTGGTTCCCGTTAAGTAGTTAGTTTGAATAATGATCTTGATAACGTACTTAATGAGAACCACAGGGTTTTTGTTACATGGACTATCTGACGGACAGGGCCGTCATCTACCCCGGTCGAAACGGAGAGTGGAACCGGCGAGAGATGTCGTGCGGTGTCCCACAGGGTTCGGTTCTGGGGCCGCCCCTGTGGAACATCGGTTACGACTGGGTGCTGCGCGCCGACCTCCCTACCGGCGTCAGCGTAGTTTGCTACGCTGACGACACGCTGGTACTGGCACAAGGGGGGTCGTACGAGGCGGCGGCGGAAACTATGACACGCGGGGTTGCGATAGTCGTTGAGAGGATCCGGCAACTGGGTCTCGAGGTGGCTCTGCACAAGTCCGAGGCCATGCACTTCCATGGTCCTCGGAACAGGCCACCACCGGGATCCTCAGTGATGGTAGGAGGGGTATCCATCGGCGTCGAGTCGACGTTGAAGTACCTAGGACTCGTCCTCGACGGCCGATGGAACTTCGTTGAGCACTTCCGACGTTTGGCTCCCAAACTGGAACGGACCGGGGCTGCCTTCAGGCGGCTCCTGCCGAACCTGGGGGGGCCAAACGCCTCCTGCCGGAGGCTCTACGCGGGGATCGTGAGGTCCATGGCCCTTTACGGGGCCCCGGTGTGGGCGCGTGGTTTGGCGCGGCTTGCCGTCCACCACCTAAACGCGCCCCAAAGGGTGGTTGCCGTAAAGATGGTTCGCGGCTACCGCACGATCTCCCGCGAGGCGGCGATTCTCCTTGCCGGATTGCCGCCATGGGATCTGGAGGCGATAGTCCTCGCGCGCCTGCACGAATGGCGCGCGGCAGCACTATGCCGGGGGGAAACCCCGCTGCCGCGGCAAGTTGTCGCGCAGCGGACAGACTTCCGGCATGATCTCATGGCGACATGGAGAGAGCGACTGTCGCAACCCCGTGCTGGGCACGCCACTATAGCGGCGATAAGACCCCTCTTTGAGGAGTGGCTTGAGAGACGCCACGGCGTCCTCACCTTCCGCCTGACGCAGGTCCTCACCGGACACGGTGTGTTCGGGAGGTTCCTGCACCGAATCGGGCGGGAGGAAACGCCCGGGTTCTCCCACTGCGAGGATCGACCGGAGGACACGGTGGAGCACACCGTGGAGGTGTGTTCTGCTTGGGCGGAGCACCGCCGTGTCCTCGTAGCGGCGATAGGCGGCGGCGACCTCTCGCGTCCGGCTCTGGTCGAAGCCATGGTCCGGAGCGAGACGGAATGGGATGCCGTCACCACCTTCTGCGAAGCAGTGATGCTAGCGAAGGAGGTGGCGGAGCGGGAGAAGGAAAGAGCAACAGCTTTCCTTCCCGGCCGCCGCGGGAGACGCCCCGGGCGTCGGGGGCTACGTCGTGGCCCCCGACCACCGTAGGCGCGGGCCTGTGGACGGCGAGCAATGGGTAGCTCGCCGTCCGTCCGTCTAACGACGACAGGCCGTGTCGACGGCGCGTTTTGTTCCACGCGCGCCTCAAAGAGCTGTCAGCAGCGTGAAGGGGCCCGCAAGGGCCGACGCCTGCCGGGGCTGCGGGCTGTTCGAAAGAGATACCGCGGCTCCGGAACGTAAGGGCACTGAAGGAACACGGATGGTTTTTAGTCAGTAAAAGTCTGACACTCCCTTCCGCTCCACCCACAGCGAAAGGCGTCATTAGATGATTTTCCATCCGCAAAAAAAAAAAAGGGTTTTTGTTACATATTGTATATTACATCTTGAGATATAAGTTAATATCGCTCACCATACTTTTTTAAATGGCACCGGTTACACTGAGCTATAATATAATATATTACAACTCAAACTATAAATATTTTTTCGATCGACCGAGCAATTTCATATTATAGTTCCGCGCCGCTGCAGAACGGTGTGCGGGGTACAGAAGGTAATCCAATGACCAATAACGAACGCACACTGGTTAAAAGATATATCGCACAGTGTGAAAGCCAGTCGCGGGATATAATTTATATTTCGGGATATAATATATGTTATAACCCATAGTGAAAAGCCAGCTTTATATTGTGCTTGTGGCTTGTGCATGAAGTGGCTTGTGGTACAAGTTGTTATTTTATTCTTTTAAGTCATGTCTTCATTTCATTCAGGATCTTCGTTTTTATAGTTTTTTTTTCACAATATGCTGATGCGTCACATTGAGAAGCTTTTGGGGGATTTTGACAACAGCTCAATCCATCGGACAGTCGATGACAACGTCACTCAATTTCATAAGGCGCTTAAGCGATCAAAATAAATTGAGGTTTAGGGTGAGTGGGGGGAAAATGAAAGACGGGGTAAGACAAAAACGCATCAGTAAAAACAGATTTTGTGTAATTTATCCAATGCAGGCAACGTTCATAACACCGCCATTTTGTTACGTACCACACCTAAGTCGCCACTTTCTATATAGTTTGTGGTCGCCACTTGTCGTTTTGAGGGATTGGTTGTGTGTTATAAGGGAATATCTACGCTGTGAATTTTACGCGAGCAAGTCGGGTGTTTTAATCTTATCCCGTGTCGTGTAACTTGATTTACGAGGTAGGTACGAGTTTTTTATTTGTATACATACTAATTATTTTTAATTGGTAGTTATGTTGCTATGTCTAAATATCACTACGTTTTGGATTTTAGGATTTATTGTAACATTCCGTCTTTACCCGCCAATATTTGACGGGGTAAGATAAACATACAAAAGTTTCCATCTTGCTCCGTTTTCAAAAGTCATACAAATGGTCTCATGTGGTAGAGGTAGGTCTTTATCAGTGGTAGAGCCACGCTGCAGCTTTTGCTGTCGCACGGATGGGCTGGCTCGAACCGGGGTGGTACCATGACCACACAGAAAACCAGCGTGAAGTAGAGGTTTACCTCTGCGTTTCGCTTGGTGAGTGCAGGTGACCGGAGGCCCTTTTTATTGGAAATGAAGCATTCCATCTTAGTCCTCACGGGTGACAACGCATCTACATTTTGATTTGTAATGGAGGATAGATGTAGAAGTCTATGGGCCGCAGCAACCACTTACCATCAGGTGGACTGTGTGCTCGTTTGTCACCCTTATCGTATAAAAAAAATGTTCTCAAACTGTACCTGAAAAAATGTTTTGTTTTGTTACAGCCATTATATAAATTGTCAGCGGCACTATTTCAGTTGTGTATCGCTAGCAACGCAGAGTCGGGAATTTGTATTTGGAAAAATCCAAAATTAGGGGCTTTTTAGGTGCTAATTAGGTGCCAAGTTTAAAAATTAGGTGCTCTAAA